TATCTATGGCCTGCCTTTATAAGGGCCTCTGTAACAAACGCTATATTACTTTATCATACCTGTAGGCATTTCCATTTCATACATTTCTATGTATAATTGAATTTCAAATACTGAAATATACGATAACATCATTTAGGTCAACTATAGATATTCCGAGTCGTAAAATTTTAATTGCTGCGGGTACCTTCCACACCTAACTGTATAAGGTTTTCCTTCAATGAGTACCTACATTCTTTCATTTGTATGTTTATCAAAACTCGGAAACTTATAAAACTCGAAAAAAAACATTGAAGCTGCTTCCTTATTTTGGGGGGAAGCAGTAAAAAATAATTTATTCTATTCTATACTTTCTTTAATATTACCTATATAGCTGAAGAGTTTGTTTGTTTGAACGCGCTGATCTCAGGAATTACTGGTTCGAATTGAAAAATTATTTTTGTGTTTAATAGACCATTCATTGAGGAAGCCTTTAGTCTATAAAATATCATGCTACGATCTATAGGAGCCGAGCAGCGAGTGAAACCGTGCAAGAGTAGCTAGTCTAATATGATAAACCTTTATTTTGTGAGGGGAAAATCATCCAATGACTTCTCCCGCCCACAGTGTCAGACTCTTACTGACTAAATACCCTCCCGTTCTTTCTCCTGCTCTGGGCTGAGGTCGCGGAGCCTCATTGCACTTACAGCGCAATGCAAAGTTGAAATCTGTCTGTTTGCTTACTCACATGGACGCGCTATCTCAGGAACTACTGGTTCGAATTAAATGGAACTGAACAATAAACACTTTTTGTGTTGTAACGTTATTGTACCTATAGAGATGTGAGATATAGTCATTTTATCAAGAAAGGCTACTTCACGCTACGATCAACACAAATCACGTGGGTGTAGCCAATTAATAATACTCGCTCATTATTTGGTAATTACTTAGGTCTCATAAAATCGGTACCTACTTTTTGGTCCGATAGCAATTGCTGACGGGTGGGCTAAGTAATGACCCTGAGTATGGCAGTTATGGGAAATCTTCTTTACCATAGAAGACCACGCAGTTGGATACCATGGGCAAATGTTCATCGTGGAAAGTCGTAATAACTACCTGAAAAGTTATAAATTCTTTGCCAACCTTTTATAATTATGAATTTCAAGAACGGGAATTTGGGGATTTGGGCATTTGTTGACTGGGGATGGGGCCTCTCCCATCTTTCCCTCGAAGATATTGAAACTCCGGTAACCTTACTCACGCCGGTTTTTTTATGTAATAGGTTGGCAAACGAGCAGAAGGGTAAGCAATCACGCCGCCCATGACACCCGCAGTGGAGGAGTTACGAGTGCGTTGCCGACCTTTTAGGGATTAGGCTTGTGGAGATTTAGGGTTTGGGGAGGGATTGGTTAGGGATTGGGGAAGGGGAAGGTTTGGGCCTCCTTTTATGTGAGACAGGATCACTTTTATGCTGTTGAATAACTCCAATGAAACTAAATATAATTCTGTCTAAAAATACCTTAAGTACCTACCACCATAAGCAAGATTATATTGTCCATGATATGACAAAAGCATCATGTTCCTTCGACAGTAATTTGACCAAAATATCAAAGAAAATTTAATAGATGCCTAGGTACTTAGATTTTATAACGTGAAAGGTTAATAAAAGATAACGTTACCGTCGTTAATTATAATTTGATGTTTGTGTCCATAAATGGTATATTTGTAATTGTTTTCATCGTTAAATTACTTCGAAATAACGTTATTTATCAAAAATACTAATGAATAATTGTTAATATTGGTACCAACAATGATAATGTAGACTGTTCTAACTTCTTTATTTGAAATAGTTTTGTGTATTTAAATACTTTTTTATCATAAAATTAAACTAAGAGAATACAAATTTGAATTCCGCTCTCTTTCTATATTTAAATCTTATCTGGTATCAATTGTTTCTTTGTCACAACTATATCATGCATTATATACCGAAAAAAAAACTTATTTTAAATATCAATTAATTAAAAGGCATAACCTTGTTCCATATATGGGTAATAGTGAACCGCATCTCTAGTCCGTAACAGGATGAGGAACAGTATAAACCGCAGGTGTATGACACTCCTACAATGTATGTGGATTTTCTACTCCTAAAAAATCTTATTATTTAAGATCTATCTTCTTAAAATAACACTGACCACAGATACTATATGAATTAAACATGGATGTATCTACCTACAACTACTATCAATCATTCACATAACATCAAAAGTATAACTTAAATGATTTAGGAAAGTCACCTCTTATTATAGTTTTACGTACGATTCGAAAACTTTATAACAAATCCACATTCGACTTATTGACAAAGAAAAAGTTGACGAATGAATCAATCGCCTACGTGCTTACCCAAACTACTTAAAATATGCAATGGGAACTCAGTCAAGGAACACCGCTGTGTTCATCATACCCATATCGGTGGCAATCTTCCATAATAAACATAATTTTGATTCACTGTTGTAACAAATGACATGCAATTATTTCTGCCCATGACATGACTGCCCACCTGAGCTCTTCAAGTCCATTGTTTAACGACAAACCTCGACCATCCACCAACCTTATAAAACCCAACAGTAAACGCTTTCGAAATTTAAAGACAGACAGATTAAAAATCGTCGTCGTTCCAAAATCAAAAGAGAAATTTATTTAATAGGTAGGTAGCGGATCTCCTTTCGCGTTTTGTTATCACAAACTTCAAAATGGCGAATAAGTATACAATTCGAATTTCAAATTATTCGGTAATAAAAAAAAATCTTAAAATCCGTAAAATTAAATAACCTATAGCTAAATAGTAAAAATGCGAGTTAATTTAAAGCTATAACTATAATTAAGAATCCGTAAACAAATTATTGAACAATGGTGAAACAAATCGTATGGTGCAAATCAATTATTTAACTTATATAACAAAAAGAAACGAGTTGCCTTCAAGACGTTTTGTGAAATCGTTGCAATAATATGTAATATCGTGTCAGAAAGGACACACACTCAGATGTGCTTACAAAGATGGAGAGACACTAAGTAGCCCAGCCGGTTGCGAAATGCTTCCCGCTTTGCCTTCCACAACATTTTCCGCACAATTCTGCGCGCACGCACGTATGTGTCAATGTGTTGGTGTACCGCCACACACTGATACAATCAAAAGCTAATAATAACACGGAAACGGTATGATGCGAAAGTTAATAATTAGTTTGGTAATTAGCTACTTTTAAAAAAGGTTTTTTTTATTATTATTGTGCTTGTTATTGTCTAGATTAAAACAAAGCAAACTGGTTGATCCGTATCATGAAATGCATTAGCGTTGGTATTGTGAATATAAGAATATGTCATAGGTATACATATTATGAAGATAGTTATGTAGATAGATTAAGTAGGTATAGATTATGCTCAAAAATATATTCGTTCAAATATTTAAGTCATTAATCAAATGACGAATTGCATCAACTTTAGTGAATTAGATTTCATTTGTTGTATTTGGTTTTTTCTTAAAAAAACATTAAGTTCTCAGTTCATCTTATAGGAACATAATCCGGTACTTTACGAATAATCAAATTCAATACTTTTATTGAAATATCAACAACGTTACTTTTATAATTAATACCTACATTTTCTATATGAACGCAACGTTTTATAACGTCCGAATGTTTTTACGTCAAATGGCATACTTACTTAGGTATTTCTGAAAAAAAATTATAGAAATAACCTAAAATTAAATATACCGGTTCTTATGCGATATAGTTTTACATATACAAATATATAATTAATCAATAAATTATTATATTTGAATACTTTATTGTACTGAAAAGTCAAAATAATTTATAATTTAACTAGGAATCTACCCAATTGTGTTTCATAGACTTTTTTCTTAAAGTATCTATATAGGTAAAAGAGTTCCAGATAATATAAAAAGATAGGAACTTTTTGGTGCGTCCTAAAAGAATCTGATAATCTTTGAACAGGACAGATGACTGCTTTGTTGGTGTTATATTTTTTCTTAACAAATATATAGTTCGTCGTTTCGTAGAAAAGTAAGTTGGTATTTATTAGTTGGAAGGTAATACAAATGATCATAATTGGCTATAGACACAAAAAGCATACAGATGTGCATTCTTGGAAGAAACAAGGGATGATGTCATGTAAAGCTACGTTAAACCACTAACAATCCAAAAAAACTTCAGTTGAGATAAAATATATTTTGACTCCAGCTATTCTCGCACGTATGTACCTATAGCACTCAGAAACATTGTGCCTAGGTATCTAACCGCGAAAGAATATTGGAAATCCGACAAGCGGTTCCAAAGATTATATACTTATTACCCAACATACAAACTTACAAATTATACCTCTTTATAATATCGGTATACCTAGATTATGAAGGCTACTGCTACTCATATCACAATTAACAGATTCATGGCTCATACACATACACAGTCAAAAAAAACAAATAAAAAAAAATAACAATTACACAGTTAAAAAAATTACCACCGGCGTTCACCCGGTTTCATTATTTTCCTAAAAATATACGTAGGTATTTCTATAAAAAAAAGTTTGATGAAGTTTTCGCGCGCATTTCAATTTAAAATTCGAATAAACACAATTAAGAAAACAAATTCCAATTAATCTCGTTTAGTAACTATTAACAACAGTTATGTTCTTATTACGTTATAGTGAGCGCAACAATGTAATAATGTTTTATCAACAATCAAATCACGTACCTAATATTTAAAAACCAGAACGAATATGAAGTTAGTTCATTTTTAAATCCGTGATACATTTAATCTTAACTCTATTAAACGCTCCTATATGTTTTTAAATAATATTTTAGCCGCACTTTTATCATTGAGCCTATTTACACACAAAGACAAATCAAGACAAAAAAAAGGAAAAAAAAACAAATCATGTCCTAAAACACACCCTCGTGATTCGTTTAAAATTTAAAAATCGAATATTAACAAAATAAAAAAAAATAAACCTACCAGAGTAAACACATCAGTCACTTCTAAGATCACATTTAAAAAACATAATATTATCACGCACGATCGGCACGCCATTATGAGTTTATAACCAGATCAACATTAATAGAACACAATAAAAAACTGCACGGTTAAGCTTGTAGACAATTTATATGTATACGCGACCGGTGATCAGTGCCGTTCCGCGAAGAGACAACACAAGAGTGAGCTCAGGTTGTGGGTGCCTGAAGTAGGGGACCACTCTATGACCTTGACCGTCAAGGCTCACTGACTCACATACAGACCCTGTTTTCTTATTGCACGTGAATCGATAACAACAAAAACTTAATGGCAATTATGACAGTGTTACTACTCAGTGATGTACCTACAGGTAAACAAGTAAGACGACTGTGTCCTACTTAGGTATGTACTGCGCTCTGCGAACACCTACACGCTCGATTCGTCGTCGTCAAGGGGTTCTTTTTTTAATTTTTTTATTCAACCCTTATGTCATGTGATCTAATGAATAAGGAAAATATTATGAAAGAAAAAAGGTTGTAAATACAAACCGAACTATGAGTAAGGGCTGATTTTTCAATGGATGGATTTAGATAAAAGTTATCTAAGGAATTAAATTGTTACTGTCACGGTCTTATACAAAACATTCTGACGCGACAGCATCATTATTAAGTATTCCGCAGATAACTTTTATCTAACCATTGAAAAATCAGCCCTAAGTCAAAAAAAAATCGTTTAGCTAATTCTGTTATTTACTTATAGACTCTATGGTACCTACCTAGTTAGTACCTTATAGTTTTGTTCATTATTTGGTACTTTAGAATTCCTCTATGATTTATACAGACATAATACCTAAATCCTACTTTCTCCTACTAGTATTATAAATGTGAAGTGTATGTTTGTTATTCTTTCGTACAAAACGGCTGGAACGATTTGGTTGAAATTGGGTAGGTATGTAGACAGGTGATACCCTGGATTAACACATAGCTTGTTTTTTATCAACACCACGCAGGCGAAGCCGCGGTCGTTACCTAGTAATTATATGATAAATATGGCTTCTATTAATAAGTAAATACTATATCTACAGAAGTTATAGCAAAATTAACATACAATCGTATAAACACACACCGCTACCTACCCAATCGTCAAATAATATCCTTCTTGTTAGATTATTCCAACAAACCAAAAAAAATAAAATATTTATGTTAAATAGGTTCTCATTAGAGGTTAGAACCTACTTAGCACCATTCAATGGTCATAGATAAAGCTTGGCTTTGTTCTAAATTTAAAAACGGTTTCTGCATCGGTCAATAGGTACGTGTTTTGTAATGAGTTATAGAATGCGTCACTAGTGGGTTAATGGTTATCCTATTAAATGGAATCTTCATTCCAATTTGTCTTATCAAGTAAAACATTACGGTTTTTAAATTAATTTCAAGTAGTGATCCACTTTTGGCTGACTTATAGCATACCTCAATGTAGATATATTTATTTAATACATAAAAAATCTTACTAGTCTTAAACAAGAGAAGGAACGGGGTTTTTTGGTCAGTAAGAGTCTGACACTGCCTCTCGCCTAACCATTGGTGAGAGAAGTCCTTTGATGACTTTCCCCTCATATAAAAGTATTTTTTATTCATCACAATTTACTGCTTAAAAGTAGGTACAAAGTATAATGGACTAAATGCCTGAGGCATTCTCTCCCAGTCCACCTTTGGGTGGTAGACAGGGCGTGGTAGGTGCAATAAGATTAAAAATCATAATTGGGTGATCATATTAATATACCGTCATTACGCAGTAAATACTTTACAGCTAATTACAGATAAAGTTGCTATTATAAAAATGTTTCATTACTTGAAAGGGTCTTTTCGCTGGCAAATGTTATTGGTCCTCATAACCGAAAATAAATAAATAAACGTAACCGCGATAGGACAAAATCCTAATGTGTGGAGTACCTACCTATGTTTAAAAAAAACAAAAACAAAATTATTGAGCTTGCACCCGCAACGCCTTAGAGTAGATTTTTTATGGAATAGGAGGCAAACGAGCAGACGGATCACCTGATGGTAAGCGATCGGCGCCGCCCATGGACACCTGCAACACCAGAGGACTCACAGGTGCGTTGCCGGCCTTTTAAGAAGGAGTACGCTCGTTTCTTGAAGGTTTGAAGGTCGTATCGGTTCGGGATTACCGCCGCCGGAAGATCATTCCAAAGCTTTGCTGTGCGGAGCAGAAAGTTACGCGAGAACCGCACAGTTGTTGACTGCCAACCATCTATGTGATGGAGATGAACATGTTTTCGCGTGGGACGATAGCGAAAAGATATGGTGGGGATCAAACCGAACAATTCCTCAGAACACTCCACGTGATAAAGGCGATATAGAATACATAGCGAGGCTACATCCCTACGCAGTGCCAAAGAGTCGAACCAAAGTATTTAGTACCAAAAAGAGGTACCAAAATAGTCTATAATTTATATAATAATAGTATAACACGTTAATAACGTTAATGATTCATAGATACCTATGTATTTATTTCAATATCTACACATCACGCAAATGTTGAAATTGGTTTTCCATCGACATTATGACATCACTACTTCTTTAATTATTCTCGGACTTTCTCTAGATACGTAACCACTTTTAACTTCATGCTTCATACATTATTCACCTAGCCAAGAAACGGTTTTGTTTAATACCTATCTAACAAGAAAATTTACAACATTAGTCAAGTGGGCACAGGTATACTCAAGATGCCAAGTAAAGGACGCAGGCCCAAATTCTGGACCCGCTGAAGTATTTTTAGGAACAAGAGACTAATAAAAAATAATACAATGTCTTACTCTACTCAATAAAGATACCTATATAAATAGGTAAACTTACCAATTAATAATTTATTGAGTACCTAAATATCCATCTATATAACTAATACCTTTATAATAAAACAAGTGCAATTTATTAGAGTCGCATTATATTTTTAAATCAAAGTAATGGTTGCGGAGAATAACGGTTTCCACAAAACAAATCATCAGACAAGCATAGCTTTTCAGTTTTATGAATAATACAGTGCTAAAGCGTGTATTTTTTGTGGACGCTCCCGAAGATTCATATAAATGCCGAATAATGAACGCAGCGATAAAGAGACATAAAATACTTGCTTAAATGATTAAATGTATCAACGTTATTAGATTTGTTCTAAGACTTAAATTGATTAAAAATATTAATTTATTCTATATAACTCTGCATCTTTTCCGTTTCTCGTGTCTTGTAGATCTGAATACATATCGTTAAAAATGCATTTACAATATAATAATTTAATTTTAATATTAACTTATTATTTTACTTTCAATTAGAAAAATAAAACTAATAAACTAAAACACATGTTTTTGTCGGGGAATCACAACTTTGTTTACAAATGTGTAACTTTTGAAGTTTGACATTTTGAGTTGTCATTAATGTCAGTTCATTGTACGTATCGGCTATTTTCTTACGGATTTGTCCAAAGTATATATAAAATAACCTCGCATTTTAAGCAATATACGTGTTTTAATTGTTATTTAAATGTCTGTAGACACAGAAAATGACTTTTCAGACTTTAAAGTAAGCTTTAATGGGCCAAAAAATGTGTAAATATAGTGTTATGGTTATTTTATTTTGTACAATATGTTCTAGCTACCACCAATATTTGAAGATCTTAATGAAAGGGTTAAAGAGTATCTTTTGAAGCCGGAAAGGCTGTCAATACATCAATGGGAGCGGTCACAATCAAACTGGCATCGTGAAAGTAATGTTGATTCCCTATTTATTCACGATGACGACGATTTTGGACCCGACACCACACTTGAGGTAATTATAAACAATGTACAATATCAATTGTTAGCAGTGTCTAGTGTAAGTGTAGTAAAAGTATGTTTATATTTTTCGTAATTAGTATAAATTTGTGCCTACTTCATTCAAGTACGATTATCATACCACTGAAATTTTCTTAGATCATACCATTTCAAACAAATTACTCTTGGTAGCAAATAAAGATAATCTTGAAATTTAGTACCTACACTTATACAAGATTTAAAAAGTGAATATGTTACATATATAGAATCTTTCATAACAAAATCAAAATCAATTAAGAATCTTAAAAAACACATTTTTTTCTAACATAATACAATTTTTTTTCAGTTTATTTCAATCAATATATTTTTTATGTGACCCACCAACTATTGGTGGATACATTAGGCTTCTGGGTATTCAGGGATTAGGAAGGGACATAGGGAGAGGAAAGATTGGACCTTCTATTAAAAACAAATATGTTCAATAATTATTATAATCAATCCAGGTGGTTCGAGATCCACTCACAGGTGAGATAACAGGTTTAGAAGAAGTTAGTATCCCAGTGGAAGATGATGAAGACAATCTGTCCATGTCGAGGGCTCCTTTGCCCCCCAGCCTGGCAACAAGAGGCACTACCACACAGAGTCCGTTTCTACCAGCAGGATTTGAAGAGGAACTGGAGAAAATGCTTGCTGAAGCTGCCAGCGGAGATGTTAACATAGACTTGGATAATGAAGAGCCTGGAAAGTTTTTGGGTGAAGGTGAGACAAAGTGTGACATGTCTTCATACATGTATTCCCCAAATATTATTGTGCTCCATGCTTAATATTACTATTGTCTCTTGAATGCTTATAGGCAAGTCAGACAATACAGTTGATGATAACAACCTATACCTTTCATAGGAAAGTTGTCATGTAACATTACTAGCTTGTGCTTATCAATTTTTATTATCTTAATGTGCATCTTAGTATGCATTTGTTTTTACAGCCAAAAACTGTCATTCTTCAAAGAAATTATATTAAATTCAACCTAGAACTCGAAAACTGAATGATAAAATGGCAACATGCTAAAATAGAATTTCTAAAAGCAAGCTGTTGTTTCATGCCAGCTTTCATCTTACTAAAGGAATGGGGCAATGAGGCATACATATTCAAGGATTTCATGTTTGTACGTTTGGTGTTTAAATAAAACACCAAACATACAAACACTGAATTGTAGTTGAATAATCATACCTTTTATTTATTGTTTAGTATTTAATAATATCATATGCCCCTCATTTTGATGTTTCCAGATTAAGTAGAACATTTTTGAGTTGGAATTATCAAATAATTAACTGATCTAAATAATATTACAGATATTCTAAACACAGCACCGGGATGTAAGGAGACTGTGTTGTTTGCGGATGATGGCTTCACACTGCTCAATGCTCCTAAAGAGGACAAGTCATCAGAGGACAAAGAAAATGTTGATATACATGTGAAGATTAACTTAGAAGAAGTGGTCGATAACAATGCTCATTTAGTAGGCAAGTCTGATGTATTTAGTAAAACAAGTTACAGGCTTAAAATTTGGTCTGAAAAATATCGGTCTATTCATAAACACAATAATCGCAAACAAATACTAATAATATCTGAGTGTGAACAACAGAATTGGAATATCTAACTATTTTTGAATCAAGAAAATAATGGTTGAATGCAAAAATCATCCCATGACATGTTGTGCACACAATTGTATCTCCGCTACACCAATCACAGATTCAAATATTTTTTTTCTAAATAAAAACCTATTACCTATAATTTAACCAAATAAATCAACAGATCTCTGGAAAGAAGAGGAAGTTTCAGAAATAAAACCACAGAAACCTGTTAAGAAAATAGAACTGGATGCTGATCCTGACAATGACAACTTCCTTGAAGCCACCATCATCAGACCTCCGATAGAACTGCCAGAGTTACCAGTGCTGAACATCACCAGCTCAGCGGCAAAGACAGGAGTCACATCCACTGAGTGGGCTGAGATGATTGATGTGTCACAGCCTGTACCAGAATTTAGAGAAAAAATTAAAGATATGGCACAAACTTATCCATTTGAATTGGATAATTTCCAGAAACAGGTGAGATAATGTAGTGAAAAATGTTGACCCATGTCGATACACAGTGTCTGTTTTCTATTTTTATGTAGGAATATGATTGTGCTTTAATGATCAACAGCATTAATTAGCTCAAAAAAAGATTAAAATTATTGTCAATTGCTCATTGTTCACAGTTGTCTTTATAAAAAAAATAGTAAAACTAAGTCTTATTGGGGAAATGGTTTCAGGACAAATTAAAGTTTAGCATAATCAAACTAATTTTTACTTTTGAAAGACATTGAGAACATTCACCCATTGTGTGTGTTCGTTACAGTTCACAAAAAGTACTACCCATATATATAATACAGTATGTATAGTTAGTTACTACTCTTGAATAATACATAGAATATAAAGTAGATTACTATGTTGTATAGGAAGACGTTATTAAAAAGGACATACATAATGGAATAAAGATTGAATTGTTTATTATAATAATCGCAGGCTATCTTGAAACTAGAAGAGGGCCACCACGTGTTTGTGGCGGCGCACACGTCGGCCGGTAAAACTGTAGTCGCTGAATACGCTATAGCCATGTCCAGGAGGAATTGCACAAGGTGTGTTTTAATTTTTTAAACTACTATTACTGTATTTACTTATACTTTCATGTACATCTGGTCTTGTATATGTATAAAAATAGAAGGTTCGTTAGTCTCGCTAAAACTCGAGGTCGTGTGATCTGGTTTGTCCCATTTTGGTATTGAAATATTCGTCAACGTCCAGAGAAGGGTTAGGTAATAGGTAAAAATAATATTATTAAATTTTGAAGTGATATGGAGTTTACATGGTCAGCTAGTTAAATCTAAATAAATATAAAAAATTAATCGCAAAATGTGTGTTTTGTTATGTTGGTTATTGTTAGGAGAAAGTACTTATGAAAGAAAATTAAAAAAAAGTAGAGACGAGCGCTGGGAATTAGGGATCCTTTCGTCCATGGGCGGGCCGCTAGTTATAAATAAAGTTGCATTAAAACCTATTAGGCCTTATGGCATTATCTCTCAGTGAACCTTAAGGCTAAATAAAATGCATTGAAAATAAGGTTGTACTTGTACTGTATGCTGGCTCCTCTAAGTGGGGCAATATATTATAGTGTTTTTTTTAAGTTCAGTAAAAGTACAATCGTTTTACTTGTCTACATAGGATGTATTGTTTATAACTATACAAATGTGATGGTCAGATAGTAACAAAAATAAAAAATACTACCTAATAAAAACTCATTTTCAACTTACAGAGCAATCTACACATCACCAATAAAAGCGTTATCAAATCAGAAGTACAATGATTTTAACAAAATGTTTGGTGAAGTTGGACTTTTGACTGGAGACTTACAAATCAATGCGACAGCCTCCTGCCTTGTGATGACTACTGAGATCCTAAGGTCTATGCTGTATTGTGGCTCTGATGTGACCAGGGATCTTGAATTTGTCATATTCGATGAGGTTCACTATATTAATAATGCTGAGGTAAGTCTTTTGTCATCAGAAAATATTTTTTTTCACATCACTTTTAGGAATCGTGGAATGGGTGTGAATTCCACAATTTTATTGCTAATTTTTGATTTCTAGAAGTATAAGAGAAATAAAGTAGAAATCTATTCTTACACTAAAAAATAATAGGCACAAAACACGAAGAAAACAACATATTAATAAGAATAATCTTATTCTGAAACAAAAAAATCTATCTTAGATATACAAAAAAGAAATCAAGTGACCTTATGGAAATATTAGAATTTTGACAAAGGCAAATAAGTCTCTTTTAAAACATACTATCTTAATCATACTATCTTCTCTCTCCAGCGTGGTTACGTATGGGAGGAGGTACTGATCCTGCTCCCAGCGCACGTAAGTATAGTGATGTTGAGCGCCACCGTCCCCAACACGCTGCAGTTCGCCGACTGGGTGGGCCGCACTAAGAAACGGAAGGTCTTCGTCGTCTCCACGCCCAAACGACCCGTTCCACTTTGTCATTATCTATATACAGGTTTGTATGTCTAGTATTGTGTGTCTAGGAAGGCAAATGATAATTCCCTTCTTTTGCTTTAATTTATTTAATGAACAGTAAGAAAGTGACATCATGACAATTTTCCATGGTGTTATATTTGTTTTGGAATTTATGCACGTGCCTTAGATAGCCCACTCAAGATTTGTTAGTTAATTTATTTTTATCTAATCTTCTATATTCAGGCGACAAAGACCCATAGATATAAATACCTTTAAAACGAAAAAACATGTACTAAAACTTTATATAATACAAAACTTGTTAATAAATAAAACATAAATCTGTGTGAAGTATGAATGACATAATGCAAATATGATTGTCTGTGATACCATATTCTATTCGTCACTAAATTCAGCTTTGATCTTTTAAACCTAGCTACAAACAATATGGTTTTAATTTTGATCAATGATCAACAGTAAAGGTTCTTGTCAACCTGAATTTATTAATTTACTCTTAATGTATACAGGAACTGGTGGAAAGTCTAAGAATGAGAGGTTCCTAGTTGTGGATCAGGAAGGAAACTTCCAACTACGTGGGTACAATGAAGCGGTGGCTGCTAAGAAGGCGAGGGAGAATGAGTACAAAAAGAATTTTGGTCCGAAAGGTAACAGATAACACACATTACTTTCTAGGATTACACAGAGATGTTCTTATTGGTAAGCAAAGCACACCTAAGTAGGTTTGAACCTACACTCACATATTCTGTGAAAACCTAAAACATGATGATACGATGCTAGATACACGCGGGAACTGGTATACTCTTAAATGAACCTTAGTAACTATTATTTACTAAAGGAAAAGTAAAATTGAAACTATGTCACAATTCCCCTAGCTCAATTTATAAAATAAATTAAAAAAATATATAAAAATCAATTTTAATCTTCAGTGTAAATAATAAATTATTTATTTGTTTTACTTCAAATAGTCTTGATTGAAATTGTTATTTCCAGGAGGCAAAATGTACCAAAATCCTAAGGCTGAACAGACTATGTGGGTAGCTTTCATCGACCATTTGAAGCAGCAAGACAAGTTACCTGTGGTCGCATTCACATTGTCACGAAACCGGTGAGCAATAAATATAAATTCATTAGATTCGGAGTAAGTCAGATTAGAGTTGATTTTTCAATAGTCAGATAAATGTTACATGAGGAATAAAATGATTGCTGTCACTGTCTTATACAAACATTCTGACGCGACAGCATCATAATTATTCCACAGGTAACTTTTATCTAACCATTGAAAGATCAGCCCTTAGTAGATGAAATTGTTTCAGAGCCAGAAGAAATTGTTTATTCAATACAAAAAAAAGAACGATCATATCTTTAATCTATGCATTCATCTTTATGAGCCGTATTGAAGCTCATAAAGATGTATTCTGATGCGGGTTCTGAAATAAACATACCATGGCAACATTTAAGTTAATTGTTTTTTGTCTTCATGTATTGGATGTTGTTCTTAAAAAAATATATTTTCACGTAAATATCATTAATTAACCTGTTTTCCACATCTCATGGAATAGCTCCTCTCACATAATCCATCATTATTATTTCCCAATTATAAAAGACACGGTTTTATATCCTATGTTATAAACCCGTGATAAGAACTAAAATAGTGATCATTTCGCCTAGATATGAAACTACAATCCAATCTCAAAAAATATAATTTACACAGAATTGATTTGCAGGTGCGATCAAAATGCTGAAAATTTAATGTCAGTAGATTTGACAACTGCTAAGGAAAAGGGGCATATCAGATCTTTCTTCCAAAAGTGTCTGCAGAGGCTTAAAGAACCTGACAGAAGATTACCCCAGGTAAATATTAAGGCAACCAATTTATTAACCTTTGGCTGGACTTAGCGAGTGAGGGTTTATTGTTGTTCCACTAATTTGTAAATAACTTCGTAGGAAACATAATTCGTAGTTCGAAACTAGTCGCGGTATCTCGCAAAACAGTTACTTGAGTGTAGCAGATTAACATAACTAAAATTTTTGTAAAAATTTTGAACTTTGTAATACAACAAGACCCTAATCTTTAAACATAAGAAACGAGGAGCCAGAATTTGCACTCTTCTTGGTAACTAGTGATATGGCTTACGTTTTAATAATATATTCTTTATAAATCGTGTTTTAGGTAATAAGGCTACAAAGAGTGTTGGAGAATGGTATCGGAGTTCATCACAGTGGTATATTACCGTTGCTGAAGGAAATCGTTGAGATGTTATTCCAATCCGGTTTTGTAAGTTTTTTATTTTCTTTTTGACACCTTTTGTGGTTGATTTTAATCGTTACAGAGTCTTTTAGACTTATTTTAAAAAGAGCGCCTCAACACAGTATTGTCAAACTGCGCTTGCATCCGCAAATCTGGCTTATTAACCTGAACCCTTAATACAACTACCCGTATATCAAATGGAGAGATTATGGCAAAGGCTTTTGTTTAGAGGAGTCGTTTGAAAATCCACTACAGATATTGGTCAAAAAAGATCAGCAACCACTTAGATTTTGCAAGAAAACTTTATTCAATATGTGTATTCAATTTTGAACTGTGTTCTACTGTAATTACAGGTGAAAATCCTATTCGCGACTGAGACATTCGCGATGGGTGTGAACATGCCGGCTAGAACTGTAGTATTCGATGAGACCACTAAGTACGATGGGTTGCAGAGACGTGTTCTCGCACCAGCCGAGTACATTCAGATGGCCGGCAGAGCTGGGAGGCGAGGTATGGCATTAATCTTTTGTCTATGACGTGAGACGTTACAGATTACATATTGAGAATTGCTCGGGTTAAAAAATTATTTCAACGATAATTATTATGTACGACGCTGTGAATCGGAGTGGATGCGTACTATTTGCTCAAGACTAAACTGCACTAAATTTTAATTGAAAATAAGTAGTATTGCTTGCGTTAATAAAGGTCTTATTTCTTTGAACTGCTTCGCAGATTTATAAGGTACATGAGAAAGTTGAAACAAGATCAAAATAAAATAAAAAAAGGACTTTAATGCGTCACTCTAATCGGAAGCTTTCCTGAGACGCGTTTCTCCATACAAACATTATCCCATATTATATGTCTACGAAAATATAATAATTATATGTTAGAATATCTCGACAGGTCTCGATGACACGGGAACAGTGATCATCCTATGCAAAGAAGGAGTGCCAGACCTGGTCACCCTCAAGGGTATGATGCTGGGCATCCCACAAAAGCTATCTTCTCAATTCCGGCTCACATACGCTATGATATTAAGTTTGTTACGGTAAGACATTATTAAATCTTAGACTCTATATATTTTTATACAATAAGTTAATTCCCTCCCTTGGTATATCTAAACAATATTTATTAACCTTGGACTAAAAAGTGCAGACAATTTAATATTTTTTGGGGTACAAATGAACCTATTATTCCAGACTATAATCTAAATCTCTTCCTTTTTCAAAACAGTTGTTCCACACTTATATGTTCTCCTGTATAATGCGTATTACTAATAAAATAAATTTGTTTTTTGCGTATATTCACAAACGTATGTAGTACATACTTATGTCCAGATTACTTCATATTTTTATTTATATTATAATTCAGGGCAGCGACAGTATCCGTCGAAGGCATGATGCAAAGGTCATTCAGGGAGTTCAACCAGATTTGTCAAGCGGACAACTATAGGAAACAACTTCAATTAGCCGAAAAGGAATATTCAGAAAAATGCAGTACACCGCTGGCTTCACACTTGGCGCCGTTAGCAGCATTCTATGATACCGCAGCAATGTACATCGATGTGTTGAATGAAATCATGCCGATTCTTCTTGGTACAGCAAAGATTTCGAAGGAAATGACGACTGGTAGAGTTCTGGTGGTCTCCGCTGGTCCGTACATGAACCAACTTGGTGTTTTGTTAAATAATAATGGTTTGTATACTTTATTTGTGACTCAGAGCGACATCATTTATTTCAATTGGACTATTATAGATACTTTTGAACTTCAAGTTTAAAACGAAAGTACAGTAGAGTACAATTATTTTTTTCTCAAACCACTTTTACAATGATATTGGTCTAAAATCCTGTATATTAATAAAATCGTCCAATAATACATTTATAAAAAATACGAATTGTGAATTAACTGAGATAAGTTCTAGTAGTTTCAATTCAGAACTAGACTCTTATTCATAAGCATCGTCCGCGCCTCGGTTATAACCAACATTTTTGTCAATTATAATTATAATATAATATATAAGTGAGTAAGTCGTTATTTTCCATAAATTTTTGTATGCCCAACGTCAATTATTATTACACAAAAAACATCGCACTGACTGCCTGGTTCTAGAGGATTAAACTCAAGAACCGCCTCCTCATTATCTTGCCTACGATATTTATCATATTACATAATTTACAGGTCCAAGACAGACGCCTTACAAAGTCCTTCTACTAGACACCAAGGTCCAAGACAACGCGAAATATAACTTCGAAGTAGATGAGAACTGGTATAGAATACTCAGTTTCTCCGCTATGTACAGCAGTATAGGTAAGTATTATTAATATTTAATTTATGTTTTGTACTAAAGAATAATTTCACATTATAGGTATGTGAACAAACAAACAGGTCAAATACTGAATATTTCTAATTGTTTTTATATTATAGAATTTCACTGATTGTGAACTTTTAAAAAATGCTATGTAATGATATATATGTAATGTATTTTTAATAGCTACAGTTATTTAAAAATGTCGCATTTACTCAGGTCAAATTTGTAATATTGTAAGAGCATCGGTCGAGCCCGAGTCGGGTAGCTCCGTTTTTCAATGAACTTACATAATAATTTTATTATTATACTTTTACTTTTTTACTATGCAATACTTTTTTATTCAGACTATTTTTATTGAATTACAGGAACAGAAGAAAGTACCTTAGACCACACGATATTATGTATTGCACCTAAGAATATAGTTTCCGTAACAAAAATGACTTTGAAAATCGATCCTAAGGTCATTATAGATGACTGGGAGAAAAGGCAAATTCCGAGGTAAGCATTCAGACTCTTTATTTATCATTCTCGATTAGGATTCTCGAAGAGGTAGGTAGTGCTTAAATGTTGTGGTGCCCCTCAGGTTAAGGCGCCTGCTTCTCATACATGAAGGTGCGGGTTCGCAACGTTTTTTTTTTTTATGTGATAGGACGGCAAACGAGCAAACGGATTACCTGATGGTGAGCAATCGGCGTCGCCCATGGACACCCGCAACAAAGAAGGAGTTACGGGTGCGTTGCCGACCTTTTAGGGATTAGGGATTTGGAGATTTAGGGATTGAGGAGGGATTGGGGAAGGGGAGGGATTGGGCCTCCGGTAACCTCACTCACACGGCGAAACACAACGCAGTGGTGGTTGGCAAGTACCAATGTGAATTTTGCCGAGTTATATGTACTTGCTAAGATTATTTAGACACCACAAGGAAAACATCGTGACGAAACCTGAACTTATAATTTCTTAGTTTGAAATCGCCAATACTATTGTGCAAGCATAGTGATTAATGCTTAAACCTTTTCCGTGTGAGAAGAGATCTTTGCTCAGCAGTGGGCACTTAAATGCTAATGATGAAATAGATAAATGATAATGAAACACCTTACAGATTCAAAGACGCCCCCGTCGGCACAAGTTGCGCGAGCGCAGTACAGGAACTATCCCGCATCTCACACGCCGTATGCTCCGGAGCAACACAATTAGAAGTTATAAACTTAACGCAATCCCTCGCCATTACCACGGGAGAAATACTCACTTCTATCGACAAAATGAACAAATGCATGGTAAGTGATGATTTGATGAGTTTCTGTAGTACTTAACGCTGTGCACTCTTCAATTTTAGCCATAATTATAATGACATGTACAGCTAAAAATGTATTATTATTATCAGAAATATGTCTAACAAGAGCTAAATTTAAATAAAGCTTGTAAATCTTATCACTTTTTTAACTTCTGCCTTGGGCCAGCTATTGGTTGCTATAGAAATCATTTTCTTACATAATAAACTTAAAACTTATCATAAATAGCAATTTTCTTTACTAAAACACAATAAGTTTTAGAAACTTTTACCTATATTCATGCTATTAGCTAATTTACTAATGGAAATAAATAGAATAATAGAGTAGAATATATGTCTGACAGCATACACATATTCGTACACTTATCTAAAATAGTAGGTTTTTCAACACTTAACTCTGGCAACCCATATTCAAAGTTTCATCCAAAGTACGAGTTCGCCTTTTTCTTTATGACGTTTCGAAAAAAGTATTGTATTTGACTAGTTGTAAAACACCTATTACTTTTTTTAGTTGTATATTAAAAGCCTTTATGTTTAAAATAAATACATAATCGCTGTAATTTTACATGACTTATTATTACTATTTATTCTATATATTTCCATTCCGGTTATAGTAGGTTTTTGTATTTTAAAAGGTAGTTGTACATACAATAACAATAATCTTGCTTTGCGTTACATAAAAACTAAACAGAGGATAATGGAAAGCTAAGGTAATTCTCATTTCAAATTTAATAACGTCATCGAGCTTGAGCTGCTTTGCCATTATGATTTCTATAGGTTATGTTTTAGGAGCTATAGTCACCTGCTACTGCTCTTGCGAATATGTGTTTTTATTTTTAAATTATTGGCGATTATGGTTTAGATGGTGTCCTTTTAAAATGCCTATTACCTTCCTTCATGTAAAAAAATGTTATATACGAATAGTATTGATCCTACTGGTATTGCTTTGTTCTATCGTGTATTTAAGTACAGTCAGCTCCAAAAGTCGATGAACAGAATCAACTTAACAAAACACCTGTTCACAATAAAATGCCATAAGTTATAGTCGCAACTAGGAAAGCAACTAGCGAGCACTGTCCCAAAAGTAGCTGACCAACATAAGCGTCAAAATTATATTAACACAGGGCAACATTAAAAATAATAATATACTTTGTTAACCTAATTTTGTCTTTACTGCTGTTTAGTGACTTTTGATACAATGATGTCCAGCGACATTTGGATTGATGGTGTATAGCGACTTTAGGAATACTATAGTGCACAGATACTTTTGAGTTAGTCATGTTTACCGACTTTTGTAAATTTTTGGTGTACAGGCTATTTTGTTTCCTAGTTGCGACTATAACTTATGGCATTTTATTGTGAACAGGTGTTTTGTTATGTTGATTCTGTTCATCGACTTTTGGAGCTGACTATACCTACATAGTGGGTATACATAATATATCGATTCAGCCGTCGAAGAGTTCATTAAAATACAAAAAAGTAGATTAATTACAATATTAATTGGATATCTGAATAAAATATCATAAATTCATTATTTATGTCGCTAGTATTTTGTTTTTTTTTTTAAGCTTCTGTGTTACTGCCGCTGTACTTAAGGGAGTTTACGAGGATCGGGTTAAAAAAACAAATCAAAAGAACACTACCGAACCGATTTTTATGAAACTTATTAGATACTCAAACACTATTTCAAGGTCTGAAAACTTAATCAAGTCCATCTTTGGAATATTGTTTAACTTTAAATGAACAGATTACGTGTTTGAAGTTTGTATTAAACTCACTCACTCACTTTATTCCTAAACAACCCTTTCTCGAAAATAAAATTAACTTATATTACAAAATAATAAAACCAACTTATATGATATGATATCAACTTATATATATACTTTACGTTGGTATGAAAGCCCGTATCGCGTAAATGCTCTTAAAGAACTTGCAAAAATGTGTCCAATAATAAAAAAGTGGTCGTTGTAACGCCGTAGGAAGATATTCTTTGCGTTTTTAACTGTCGCAATTTTCGTAGATGTAAATTATTATTGTAATAATAGTTCTTTATTATTTGTGTTTACTGGTTTTAAGTTAAAATGTCCAATGCACTTCTTGTTCAGATTATTCAATATCTGTTAAATTAATTTAATAGATTTACACTGGTACCATAAAATAAACATAAACAATGAGGTAGTTGGATCTACGTATTATTAGAAAAAAGTCGTAATATGTTTTTGTTTTCATTTATGGTACAATTGGGTACTGAACAAGTACACAAAATCTATGGTATATTTCTCTAAAATTGTGTTTCACAGTGTTTCGACTCTAGAGCGTCACTGTGTACCAAATAAATTCGAATATAGATATGAAGGTTGTGAAAGGGGCCCGAAGTCAAGAACGCAATTGTTATTCTATTACGTGTTTACAGTTTTGACTTTGCTCGATTATATTATGTGTATAAATAATACGTCTTGCATATGCATCTGAAACTAATATCCATGCGGTAATGGAAAACGACCTTAAAAATTAAAACTTACATCTTATTTCAGAATGAATTAAAAGAACACAAGAAAAGTACGGACATTGCGAACTTTAAGTCTGAGTTTGCGATTGTGTACGAACGTAAACTGACTGAACGGAAACGTGACAAGTATAAACGTTTACTCTCCTTTGAGAATCTCGCCCTGTACCCTGATTACCAGCGTCGCCTGATGGTGTTACGGGAACTCAGCTATATAGATGAACATGACAGCGTTATACTTAAAGGTACGTAAAGATATTACAGTGAAATTGTTGGTAAACGAGCAGATGGATCACCTGATGGTGAGTGATTAGCGCTGCCCATTAACACCGCTACACCAGAGGAATAACAGGCGCGTTGCCGGCCTTTTAAAAAGAAATAGGTACGCTCGTTTCTAGAAAAATTTAAAGCTGCTAAAGTTGGTCCAAGCATCTGTATGATGGGAATAAGTGATTTCATATGAATCGATGGCCAAAAGATGTAGCGGAGATCAAACTGAACTACTCCTCGAAGCACTTACCGTGGTATAGAGAATCTGTAGGAATAGAAATTCGTGATTTTTCTCTTTATTTTAGGAGGATTTATTCATTGATACCCTTTATTTACAGGATTATCTTTAAATCCATATATATTAAAAATTCAATTTTTGAGTTGTTGCATCAACATCTCGATCAGTTTTTCAAGGCTTTAGTGTGACATTGCTTTACGGTAAGGTGATCGACGCGTTTATAGCCTTGGGCACTCTGATTGACCGGCTCCAAGTGGACCAACCAATTAGAGAAACATTCTAGAGATTCTAGACCAGAAAGCATTTCGATCGCTTTAACATAAATCAACCTCGCACTACAAACTCTGTTAATTTGTTTTTTACAATGATATTAATTTCTTAACACTTCACAGGTCGTGTAGCATGCGGTATGGGGACGAACGAGCTAATCATATCCGAGCTAGTCTTCAGAAACGTGTTCACAGACAAGACCCCGGCTGAAATTGCAGCGTTACTCAGTTGTTTTGTGTTCCAAGCTAGGACTCAAGTGGAGAACCAGCTCACTGACAAACTAGCTGAAGGGGTCAAAGCTATCGAAAAAATTGATGCTGAACTTACTGCTATTGAATCAAAGTATTTGGTAAGTTATTATAAAAGTACGTTCTGGCTGTATGGTTGATACATTGGTTGAAGCATTCGGAAACTAGCAGATGGATTACATGATGGTAAGCAATCAGCGCCGCCCATGGACAATGCAACATGGCAACGGAGGAGTTACGAGTGCATTGCCGACCTTTTAGGGATTAGGGATTTGGAGATTTAGGGACTGGGGAGGGATTGGAGGAGGGAAAGGATGGGGCCTCCGGTAACCTCACTCATACGGCGAAACACAACGCTGCGGTTGTTTCACGCCGGTTTTCTGTGAAGCCGTGGTATCACTCCGGTCGATCTGATGATTTTCCCCTCACAACTCTTTATATGATCGCTTATTGTTGTGACCCATAAAACAATGGGTGTAATGTGTTTGTATGTTCTTCAACGCATCCACGATAGAAGAGCATATCCCAGTATAGGGCAACCTTTTTTTAACCTAAAAGAAAGTAGTTACGGCTTTGCAGAAATATTTATTCTACCGTGTGACCGTTAAGGATACTCGTGATACCAGAAAAGTTACTACAAGTGGGTTGCTAGCCTCTTGTGTGTTATTTGGGATTTGAGGATTGAGGATAGAGGGGGGAGGATTTGACCTTCGGTAACCTCACTCACATGGCGAAACACAACGTAATAGTTGCTTTTCACGCCGGTTTTATGTGAGGCCGTGGTATCAGTGGTCAAACCGACCCATTCGTACCGAAGCATGGCTCTCCCACATTCAAATGGTGAATGGAAATAAATCCTACTTTTCTCCTTACTTAAAGGTAAAAAGAAAAAAAGTAAATTGTGTAACATTACTCATTTACTATTTCTTTACAGGTCGGCCAATTTGAAGGTCAAGCTGAAAGACTGAACTTTGGTCTTGTGAGAGTAGTATACGAGTGGGCTTTAGAAAAACCATTCGCTGAGATAATGGATCTTACTGATGTGCAGGAGGGTATCATTGTCAGGTGCATCCAGCAATTACACGAGGTAAAATATTCCCAACCTATAACACATCTATTTAAAATGAGAAGTAATCTGTTTGTGCCTTCTGTCTATCTCCAACGATATTAAAATCATATTAATTGCCCAATTGAAATAATTTTGGCCCAATTAATGACTTCACATAGAAGAGCAAGAACGGAAACTCTATTACGTGGAATAACTTATTAAATTAACGGCTTTTTTCCCAAGCAATAAAGTACAATTTAGGTCGCTCACACACTCAATACCTACGGAGATATTCATTTTAACATTGTTGCTATTGTTAATGCTAAAGGTTGTATGGCAGTGTAAGAGATGAGAGTTTAAAACAACAAGAGTCAAAATCATTTGTTCCAACTAAACCATAAATAGGTATATACTAAACCATAAATATGTATATACTTTTGAAACGAAAACCCTGCCTCTGTTGACGAAACCGGTACTGGCAGACGCTAAAAGGCCATTAAAAAAAGAAAATGAAAAGAGCTGAAGAGCTTTTGTATACTAGATTGCTAGTAAAGACGTCTGTGTCTGTGGACAAAAACATTTTTAAAATGACACATCTTACCGTTAGTTATTTATTGGATAATGGGCTTTAAAATTCCAAACACACTGTATCACGGTTTTCAAATGTATAACACCCTGTATAGAGAACAATTTATAATATGTATGTTCTTCTATTTTCTTCCAAACAGTTACTAGTGGATGTGAAAGACGCTGCCGTAGCTGTCGGCGACCCGAAACTCCAAGCCAAAATGATGGAAGCATCCACAGCCATCAAAAGGGACATAGTATTCGCAGCCAGCTTATACACCACGCAAAAAGAAACGGTCACTACATGATTATAGAGTCGCATTTGTCATAACTTGATACCTTATTTGTTCGTGGAACAAAATATGCTTAGCCTGATCTTTTGTTTTACTTCTTAATTTAAGGGCATTTTTGTTTCGTGCGCAGATAATTTTGTTTATTTTTAGTTGTATTATTTAAATATTCATTCTTTGTAAACAAGAAATATTTCATTAGACTTTTCTAATATACAAAATCAGAACGCGCAAATATTTTACCGTCTACTCCTCCTTGTCTCGATCATTTCCAGAGCCGGATTAGCTATATTAAGAAGACTTATAACAAAAAGTATATATATTGTGTGTATACTTATTGATCTGACTATTATATCTAAATATCTAAGCTGAAGTTAACAGCAACAGTTATTTTGGTTATAAGAGGACTTTCCACATATTTTGCTACGTGGCCCCATCTCCAATCTTCAAATCCCTGATTCCAATGGTGGCAACCTTCTTGGTGGTGGTCCTTTGATCTAACGATGGAAGCCTACTGCTTACCATCAGGCAATATGTCCGCTCGTTAGCAGCCCTATCCTATACAAAAATTTGATAATGTCAAATCTGGCCCTAGGATCCAAGAAAACCTTTAAAACAATACAAATATAAAAATATGTACGTTAAGGTTTTGAGTGGTATTAAATACTTCATACTCAAAAAAGTTCTAACAATTGGATCCTATTTAGTCTTCGTGCTCAAAACATACGTGTATTTTTATATCTCAATAAAATATATTTTATTTATTTATGATTCGTTGAAATGTTATGTATACCTACCTACATTGTTTTTTATTAGTATTATTATTCTATATTATGTTTTGTTACGCGTGCATGACTGCCTATGATTTATTTTGCTCTCCATAAAAATAAAATGTCAATTTTTATTTTATTTGTTTTATTTTATTCATTTTTTTTATTATAATTTGTAGTTCTGTGTTATAGTTTATGAACTGTAAAATGATATCGTTTTTCACTCGGTAAAAAGATATAAATGTTATACCTTTGCAAATAAAATTAAATTTATTACTACAGATTTGTACCATTTACAGTTACATTGATAAACTGCTATCATTTTACGTTGTGTGGTTGTAGATATACAATGTACAGCTTTATGTTCTTTTGAATAAAGTTGAAATCCAACCTATCCCATTAGCTTATGTACAATGCAGTAGGCCGGCACCAAGCTTAGCGCGTCGGTCGACAGCTACGTTTGCAAATATAGTTTGGACTTAATTTTGATGTAAGTAAAGTTGTTTGTTGCATGCTTTGAAATGAAGGTAAGGACTCATTTTTTTACATGAAAAGTGAACGATATTTATGGTCAGCTAGTTTGTAATTTTACTAATACTATAAAATTTACTGAAACATTTTGATCTTTTGAATCAACCCGGTAGTTTCCAACTGGATTCGTTATTGTATTGTCATAATTATTCCTGAAAATTAAGCTAGCGTCAAATCAATCATGAAATTATGATTATTTCAATTAGTAATTGTTCTGAAAACTCAAATTATTTTTGATCAAGGAAACTGCCTAATTATGCACATGAATTGAATTATAATGTCCCTCGTTTTTCGACCACGAATATGAGTAGGTTCCTCTTTGAATAGTAGTAGCGTTAAACTGGACTTACAAAGAAAATATTTGGACATGAATGTACCTACTAACCAGAAGGTTATTATTTACAATAAAATAATCCATTTTATTTTTAAACAGATCAAACTGGTGAAACTAAACGAACGCGCTGGCGCTAAGAATAAAATCAATCGCGTAAACCACACGAGTTCTATGTACCGAAACATCGTTCTTGCAGCCAGTTGGACTCCTTCAAATACACAGACGAACAAAATCGAAGTTCTACCCACAACCGATACGAAGACATCCAAAAAAACTACTGAACAAGACCAAAAGCCAACCTGTACTGCAACAAAATCTAACAAAACTCCAGAAACTATTGAAAAAGGACAGAAAGAAACAAATGAAAAGCGAAATAATAGTTCGAAGCATAACAAGAAGGCAGGAAATAATGACAAACAGATAAATAAAACCAAGCAACAGAACGAAAGGCCAGCTAATAGCGAAAACACCAAAACTGGTTATATTTTAGGACAACACGACGACTGGGCAGATTACGCCTAACGTTTTTTAATAGCAAATATTCAATCTGGCTGAAAATCATTCGAGCTCTAGGCGCTTGCCTGTTGATATTGACAAAGTATAAAGAGATGATATTGATAGCGCGTAGCATCGTCATTCAATGAAAGATACAAAACTGTGACCTTGAACAATCTGACGGAAAAATAAGATCATAAATAAATCGGTTACATAGGTTGACTACCTAGCCCTATACTATACCAATTTATTTTGGTGACAGCTCTGTCGTTAGTAAAGCACCTGATAACCTAATTACATAACATGCAAGAACAGCTATCGTCGAAGTTATCCAGCTTAAACTATCTAACCTCTTATCAGAAGAACATAATAAAAAGTTTAAGAGTGACTAGTCCAAGGGTATAGACAAAGAGTCGGTAGAGATATAATTACGTATACCTATCCAACAATAAAAAACTTGCCCAAAAGCCAGTCTTCCAGAGTTATATTTTTAAGCATCCCTAATTTATTCCCACTTAACAATATTTATTTACTATTTAGTTTCATACTATACCTACCTACTTAACTTTAGTTTGACGACACTTTTTAAAGTTTTCTCTCCCTTGATCACCGTACCGAAACTGCACTGACTTAAAATTAAGCTTCTACATTCGACTGTGTATAATATTTAACTTCTATATTAGAAATCAAGTACCTATCAGTTAATCATTATAAAATACACCTTAACGTTTTTTTTAGATTAATATAAAATATTTAATTTATTATTCCTGTTACCTACCTATACACATAATCCTTATCTACTCTTGTATATCCTCTAATGTTACCTACTTACAGTGCTTATAATAACTATTATTTAATTACTTTTAAAAAATTAAAATAAACTCCTTTCATCATTATGTGTGTGTCTTTTATTTACTTACTACTACTACTTACTTACGGCAAAAAGGCCTACAACAGTTGTTTAGATCTTCGATGTTTAGCTCGCATATGGCAGATATGTATGTACGACTACGTTGCATAGACAAGCGGTTAATTATGTTTTTTCTCCTTTCATGCATCCAGCACAGTCCGCGGTTAAAGACTTCCAACGAGAGATCTTTCTTGTCTTTTCTGAATATCCGCTGTATCCCCTAATAGGTGCCAAGCCTGTACCATCACCGGTCATTAAGAATACGGTTAATAATTTAATACGTTGCCAGACAGAGCAATCTATAGACTCGTGAAAATTCACTTATAGATTTGGCATTGTTTTGTCATAAAGCTAAAACGCTTAGCTTAACTGTTTGTCACTTAGTCGTCTCTTAAGATACCTACTCGTAGGAACAGTTGGGCCTTCGTCAATATACGAATGAAAAAGAATCTTATTTAGTCGTGAAATGTAGGTGGTTGGTACCACTTCGGATTTCGAACTTGAGTGATCAGTATCAAAATAACCGCAGCTTTTCTGCTTCTTCTGATCCTATTTAAATTTTTATGGTCAAATTGTATGGTACCTAAATAAACTTTTGCAGACCGTAGCTATTTATCAAAATTAAAAGCTGAAAAATCAGCTAATTTTATTAGCTGTACTTACCTTCCTAAATTATTAATCTCCTTTCATTTACTTTGAACTTTAAACCAAGAGCGCGGTGCTCTAGCTTCAAACCACATTTTTTTGTGAAATCATAAAAAAAATATCGGTTTCGATCCGTGAACGTATAAATACAGAAATACCTATTAGAAGGTATATTAAAAATAATATCTGTGCCAAAGACACAAGGTGTATAATTGCGTTTGGGTTAATTGCAGACAGACAAAGAAAGAAAATAATGTGTGGGTGCATAGCTATCAATCACTAGGCAGGTACCCTCTCTGTCTGTTAAGTTACTGCTTCCGAATAATCAATAATTTTATTACTTATCCATAACTTCGGATGTTGCAACCACAACCAATCGTGTTGCATTGAACTTTTCTGCAGTTTGAAACACACCCAGTCACCTCATGAACATGCGTAGAATGAAACGTGCTTTATGACCATGATGAGGAAACTTGTTCAAATGACGCATGTCAAATTTTAGTGAATCGGAACGTACCATTGGGACTGACTTGGCGATTCGGATTTTCTTTCAGTGATTATCTCGATGACTTGTGTAAATTCAATGTAAATTTGATTTGTTAAATGACAGTTTATTATTTGTGATTCGCGGACGTGTATCGAGTATACTTACAACTGTGCTCATGTGGCCGCCGGGTATAAAGGACATATTGCAGTGACTGGTTATAATTTTCCAAAAACAAATAACGTAGAACCATCAATATGATACAAGACGATGAGTTCGAGGCCCTGGTGACAACCCCAGAGCGTATAAAGGCTCTGGGGTTCAAGCCACAAAAGGAAATCTTGACGAATCACATCTTGCCATATGCCGCCGAGTTGGATGATGAGGCCTCAAGATTCCTACAACAAGTGAAGACAAACCTGGCGAAGGCCGTCATGTTGCGCGAGATGAAGCCAGCTTGCGGTGTGTGGTCCTCCAGGCTCATGAAGTAAATATTTCCTTTTTTTCATAAAACAAAGGTGTTGGGTTAGCAGTGATACATTTTAGGTGATATTTATTTATTGGAAACTGTCCAACAAATGCGGATGAGTTTATCAGGAAGGATAAATACAAAACTTTGTTGTGGAAGCTCTGGAGCTTTTGTCTCAATAGGAAATTTAATAGAAATAAGAATGAGAGATTTATATTAGGAAAATAATTTTACGAAGTATGTGCTCTTATTAGATTCTTATTGTCACTTATTAAATAACTCATAGTCTGATAAACCAAGAAAATTTTAACGGTTACTTAATGATGATTGCTGATAACAACATTGAAATGTAGAAGCTATCACCACAATACCCTCTTATACAGAAAATGCGAAACAATGTTTGACTTCCTTGTTATTAAAGAATTTCTTATTAGAATTTAGAATTTATTTAAATACAAAAAAAAAATATAGATAATCTATGTGGTAATGATATGACAAAAACTTGCTAAAGCTTAATCAGCCTTATTACAAAAGGAGGTTTTTATAATCTATGTTTAAACCTACCTTCAATTTGAAATAAATCTTGCTTTGTAATAAGGGGGTAAAGGTTGTACTCAGTAATTTCAAACTACCCACAAAGGACAAAAAGAAACAATATTTTATGTCACATATTATGATGTTTTTCAGTTTGTTGTCAACAAAAATGGATATGAATAAAAACCACAGGATGAAAAATATACATTCTAAAATGGCAACCTTATTTGAAATTTAAAATCATTTAAATTAGTTCTATTCTTGGTCTGTACTTAAACAACAATTTTGTATTGACATTGTATTTTTCTTAGTTTTTATTGAAGTGTTCATGGAAAGCTGCTTGCTATAAGGCAAAAGTGGCTTCTATTATTCTGACACTAGGTATATTTATATGATAAAGGGTCCCTTTAGTAAGCCCCTTAGAGCTAGACAACCATGCAGGTGAAATTCCAATAATTAAACTAAACCCGGTTTAGTGCCCCCTGCTCTTTCACTCAAAAAGACCCTGATATTATCTCTCATCCCTGCCAGGAGAGGAGAAGTTACTGAATGACTTCCACCCTTCAAAATAAGAATGCCTCTTAGGGAACTATGTTTTTCATCTAACAATTTAGAAAAGTATCTAAAAATCCCTGCCAAATTTTTGCCCAAATAGTTGATATAAAATCAGAAATATTATAAAAGTATGCAGAATTTGCTGTTGGTAACTATGTCATATTGCATCATTTGATTGGATCAAAAAGTGTATAGTAATGATATGACAATAAAGCAAAAAGAAAAAAAATTATTATGTATGCTGTCTTTCGAACCCCCAAGGAAAATAATTTGGATATTTTGTAAGACTTGTTTGTTGAACCCTTAAACTTTTAATGGTTTACTTAATAATAAGTTTATTAAAGAAAAACAGCTTTCATGTCGTGTGAGACATGCAATCTTCATTCAACAATAATCTCAACATAAACATAAAAAAAACAAAGTATCATATATAAAAAATAAAGACATTACTATTAAATCAATGAATCTAACAACAATATTGTTCGACTATTAGAAATTCAATTTGTAATAAGTTTGAGTTTATTGTTAACCTTTGGCAAGTATTGCTGAAGTTTCAAATATGCTGGCCAGCACCCAGGGCTTCCTGTAAACTGCACCTGGCCTCATGTAACACTGACAGTTCATTATATTACTTCATCATTCCTGATTATTTATAAAGATTTAACATCAGAACAATATATATAGCTAATGTTTTATTAATAAATTTCCTGTTAGATATGATATTTTTAGTTTGATTGACCTGTGTCGTGATTTACACTGGTTCAATCAAACCATTCCTATGATTAGGTTATTGACAATGAAATTTTTATATAAATTATTGTTTGTAAAAATGATTTTTTTAATTATATGAATTATTGGCTGAATGGTTCACTCCAAATAGTTGATCTTGGTTGGTTGGGTGTGGTATTTAATCATAAGTTTCAAAATGCATCTATAATACAGGAGAAAATCAAGGTAGACCCAACAATTCAGAGAGGAATAGGGGCCATTTATAGAAATAATCTGCTTTTGACGTTCTTCCAGAAAATAACTTATATGTTAAGTTATCAGTACCTTTAATTTTTATTCTATATCTTTACATAACAAAATAATGTCATATTTTATACTTATGAATTTGTCATTTCTATGCACACCCTCCCCCTAAGGTAGACTAATTCAAATTTAAGAAGTATTTAATAAATAAAAAATACTTGACAGGTGCCAAGGGAATGAACCTACTTTCTATAAATTAGTGTATGAATTTTAGAAATATTGAATCCCTTATTTTTTTATTATTATTTAACAAATAAATAAAAGTGTAATTTAAAAACATGTACCTATACATTCAACTAAAATAATCGGTGCCACACCACATTCTTTGCGAATTAGAAAGACGAAAGAAAATAACTTGATTGTTTATCATGAAAGAGAAACAGTAAAAGAGAGAGAGATGTTATAACTTTTCATTATTTTTTTACGGATAGCCCCCTTTCGCAACGCGCGGTAAAGAGCTTCATTCCAATATAATAAAAACTACCTAAATTTTTCCTTTATTTACAGGTACATTCGAATTCATGGCCTGAAGTTCAGCAAAGAGGATCACATAAAGCTAATAAAGTTGGCTTATGAGCTTGTGCTTATACCTGACCTTGAACCATGCAAGATTCACAAGTTTGCTACAATGTTTCTAATGCTCACTAAGTAAGTAAAATATTGAATAATACTCTTTAGTTCGAGCAATAGACTCTTCGCGTGAAAGGAGGCCTTGGTTCAGCAGTGGGCACTTATAGGCTGATGATGTCGGGTAATATACTCTCCCCATATTAGATGGGACCTGTCTTTAACATAACCGATGTATAATGGGTTTAACTATATGGTTTAGACTAGCTACCGGTATCGCCCGCTGCTCGGCTCCATTTAATCGTAGTGTGAGGTTTTATAGCCTCTCTATTATAAATTATAGCTCTCAGGAACATTGTAGGTGTCTATCAGTGAAAGAATTTTGTAAATCCGCCCAGCGGTTCTAAAGATTGCCCCCTACATACAAACTTTAAAATTTTACCTCTTTATAATACTAGTATAGATAAAGTATTCAATGTACTATGTATACGTAGGATGCTAATTTTATATTAGGTATGTAATAGTGATATTATAACTGAGAGTGACACATTAATTATCATTTTGTACAGTTTTTTTTTATTGATGCAACTTTGTAAAGTCCCACTTGTAATAAGTTTCGAAACGTTTTCCTGTATTGATTTTAAATGTAGAGACGATGAATTTAGTCACCTATCAAATTAATGTGACCTAAGTATTTAAAACGTAAATAATAAAAGGTCAGGGTTCAAATAAAATAATATGTTTGTACACGCAACTATGACACGGGAGAAACTAGGTTGTTTAAAAAATAAACTCCGGTCTCTTCTATCCAAAGCAATTAAAATAGTTTTACATTAGCTTCACACCAGTAAAATCTTTTAAATATGTCTACTACACGACACAAAAGTATTTCAAGGAATTTATTAGGGATCTTGGCAGTAAATAGTTGAAATAATTGGCAACAGCAACTTCTGTTAATTGCTAACCTACTAAATTATTTTCAACAGGAAAAGACAATTGATTTCACCTGACGAACTGACGCTGCATTGGCGTCCGCTTTACGATATGGGCAAAAAAATATTTGACAAAAGCGCCACCCATATTGGAATGTACCATTACCTGACGTAAGTATATTAATTACAAATTATTTTAATAAAAAAATTACATTGCAACTTTATAGTTTAAACCTAAATAATCGAAAAAACTTGATTATGAATGCGTCTGCGACTCATCTTGCGCCAACTTTTGTTTTGGTACTTCCTACATGTGACGTCTGCGCACGTAACGCCTGACGTAACCACGTACTACGCCTTCATGTGTATTCGATTTAAACAAAATACAACAGCGATAACCGTTGTTTGAAAATGGATATCGTACACTGAATGTTGTATGACGTAAACCGTACCTACATAATTAGTTCCACAAATTTTAAAACTCAATGTAATATGTACCTAGTGGTGTTGTAAACCAAGTAACTTTAACTTAAGATCATGGTGTATGTTCAGGCCAAAGCGCTCTATGAAACAAGGAGGCGATATGCTCGATATGATTCGCAAATTCCTGTCTGGCGACGGGCTGGGCGATGCGTTAGAGTTGTTCGGCCTCGCGGGAGCCGACGAGAACGAACTGCCCACGTAATGAATAGACAAACAATTTGTTTTCGGGGCACGCTTATTGTTCGCACATCAGGTGGCAGACGGGTTGGGCTCATGATTCATCAGACCCATGTCACTTATCCCTTGGTATAATGGACCCCAGAAATGACTTATTAAATCAACTTAATGATGTTGAAGGTTAATAAGTTGTTTTGCTAAACATCCTATTGTATAAACGGTGTCTATGTATCCAGGTGGCAGGCTGTGCATGTTTACGTATCTTACATAATGTACTTATTATATTGAAGTTTTCAATAATTTCGTTTCAGCTCCCTCGAAGGATCATATATTTCGATGGTTAAATGCGCGAGACCGTAAGTATTATACTAAAATAAATAATAGCCTTGAAATTAATTACAGTTTAGTGATATTTTTTCGGGGTGTTTTTAGATATTTCCCTTTGAGTGCAACAAAAGAGATTTTAGCGGAGTTGTTGCCCCAAATAAACCCTTGGTCTACCGATACACACGTCGTGTGTCAGCTGGCTGTCTTCCTGCCGGTGGCAATAAACCCCAAGTATGCGCAGTTCGGCCACGAACTCTGGTTTGACGAGATCATGTCGCTATGGGATACATGCTACAACTCACAATGCGGTATCTCGGTAAGATAACGTTCTTGAATTACTATTTCAATAAAATTAATACATTTTGTTTCGTTGCAAACATATATTCAGCTAGCCTGGCGAACTTTGTACCGCTTCAAAATTAATAGTGACAGTTTCGTTCATATAACATTTTACAACAGTTTTTAACTAAAACAAGAAGTCCTTTTTACTCTTTTACGTATTTGTCTCATCTCGTTGGTCAAATAGTAATACCTACCTATGTATATGTTGTACCCTTACTTAAAGTCATCATCTTAAAATCTGACCAATGACACTGCAACTAGACGAAAAATACCCACAAATCAGGATTTAAGATCATTTTAAAGATGCTCGCATCTTAATACTTTTCAAATACTTATTGACTTATTATACTTAACATTATTGTGACGTTCTAAAAGCAACCTTAACGCACAGGACTTAATGATGCTGTTCGCGGGGCTAGCAAAGCGCAACCCCGGCGCGATAGACTGGCAGCCACACGTGCCCAAGATGTTCACCAGGTTCCTCCATGCCCTGAACCTTCCAGTCAGCTACAAAGACATGCAGATCACACGCTGCCATTCCCTAGGTAAGTTAATTTGTGTAAAACTGACCTTCTTAGACCTTCTTCTTTGTTAGACTCTTACTGACTAAAAACCCTCCGTTGCTTCTCCTGCTGCCAAGAAAAATACATTATATCGCTTGCCCCGCAACCCTGATGTTAATGATGTTAATACGAAAACTATAATATACCTATTACTTATATATATTAGTGTACTTTGAATGCTAGTTTAAATTTTGGTCATAAATCGACACAGCTGTAATATCTAGTTATCTTAAAGAAACACTAGATTTGTGAAACTTTCTAAAACTAATATGATATTATGTAGTTGTGGATATAGAATTGTCCTACCCAAATAAAATTACAATAGCGCTTGGACTTCTTAAAATACAGTTACACGAGACTAAAGCACACTTTTTCGTTAAAAATAGCTTAAAATATGTTAATATTCTACTGTTACTGTATCCAAGTTACAATCCCCAAGAACAAAAGGAGATCACTAAGTAATGAATGTGCTCTCGTATAGATATGAAACACGTGGCTTCTTGGATTGTATGGAGCATTGCCCCCGACGGTGAGGTGCTCAAACACTTGCGCAGCTTCCTGGCAGGAGTCGAGAGCTATCTGCACAGCGCCAACTCAGGGCGCTGGTCCTATAAGCTGAGGGACCTGCTCAGGAAACTAGCAAGAGAATTTCTTAACAGGTAACATTAAATTAACCAACAAAATATCTGGTTTTGTTAAAGCCGATCGACCTAAACAAGGGTTTCTTTAGTCTAAGTCTGCCATTGAACCAGTTTTTGTATTTCAAATTAAAGGTAGGTGAGAATAAGATTAAAAATGCAAAACCTGAATCAATGGTTTAAACCTAGACTGTAGATAAATCTTGTTTTGTAATAAGGGTAATAGGAGTAACTTTGGTCCCTATGAATAAATACCGCTTTTAATTTGTTACCTGTCTTTAAAGTAGTTTCTTTTCCCAGGGTACGTCGTGAGCGTGAACCTAAATTTAAAGAAAGTTGGGAGAACCAAACTCCGCCTCACTATCGACTCAAAGACGAAGACATCACGGAGTTTGTTCAGATCGTGCTCGAGCCGACACTACAGGCAGTGTACAGCCGCAGCGGCTCCCTCGATATATCTATTGCCCTGCACAACCTAGCGACCCTGCGCCCCGCCATCGTAGTCCCGCCTCTCCTGGAGAGACTCAAGACCTCCCTGACGTCACTGACGGAGCCCCACCGAGTGACGGCCGCCATGTCAGCAGTGGCCGCTGTAGCGCGCCCCATGCTGCGCGGAGCTGACGCGGGCTACCCAGAGGGCCCCACCCACGTGGTGCCGTTCCTGCTAGCTGTACTGCCGGGCCTCGATCCCAATGACATTAAAAAGACATTAGTCACGCTACACTTCATACTCATCTTCACATGGATGGTGCCTTTCATAGACTGTAGTTCAGCTCACGAGCACTGGTCAGACCTCACCGAGGAGGAGCTCCTCACCTGTGAGTCTACTGCTCAACTCGAAGACTTCGTGCTCGTCTTCTTAGACAGATTGTTTGTGATCATCGAGTCTAGCGTACTCGAACATGTAAGACTGGATACTAAGGAATCCGACGCCGTTCGCAGTAAGACTGACGCTGTAATGGAAACTGCCATCTCTTCGGCCGCGACCGCTGTGCTGATGCAGTGCTCGCCGAAGATATTTAAAGAAGCATTAAGAAAGTTCAAGGCTTTCGCCACTGAAACGACGTTTGAAACGAATGTATCTGGGAGTATGGTGGGTGTGATGTTACACGTGTTTGCCCGCATAGACTCGGAGGCCACGCTGGCTGCGTTCCTGCCAGACCTGTGTGAACAACTGTCCGAGTTGTTGGCGACGGACGAGGCGCTGCACGAGGAGAACCCCTCGCGTGACCTGGTCTACAGGTTGGTGTTGCTGATGCATGTGGTGGAGTGTGACGGCGTCGTGCTGCTCAAATATGTCCCGGACATCCTGCCCATACTGGACAGGGCTCTGAAGTTACATTCAAACTACGCGCTGTCCAGGGCGTGTGAGGTGCTGAGTCACATGCTCACTTCGTTGTGCTATATTGATCTGAAAGAGTGGAAGAGTTCGCCTAAGGATTACGGTTCAGCTCCGGAGACGTGGCTGCCTATCCGGGAGTGGGGGTACGGGTGTATGCTGAAGGATACAAACTTCAAGTGGCACGTGCCATGCGAGGAGGAAGCCAAATGCGCGCAGATGTTGGTGGACCGCTACCTGGTGGCCGAGGCGGGGCGTCTGGAGCAGTGGCTGGCCGGCGAACGGGACATGTCTCGCGAGCGCCGCCTCAGGAGCTTCTACATCATCAACGCCTTACTAGCCTGCAGCACCTTCCTACCGCCCCCCGACGAAAACCCCGTTTCCTTGTAAGTGTTTCTTTCGTAAGTTCCTTCTGAACTTCTTCTAAAATACTGGTATTTCTACAATACCTGTCTTAATTCCAGTTTGGAATCCCACGTGCCTGCTACAAGCATTCCATTTACAAGCGGCGTGCGCTACCAAGTGACGCTGGGCGGGGAGAATGTACGCGTGGCGTTGACGCGTCTACTACTTAAGGTGCAGGCCAAACTGTTGGCTGAAAAGACTGATGATACCAAGGGCCTGGAGATGCTTATACAGGTGATTGTTTAGTGTCTTTATTGGTGTAAATTACTAATAAATATTTCATATCAAAGATCGAAAACGCTCATTGAGCGGAAAAATAGCTCACAACGCGTTATGGTCATAGTAAAACATTTCGCTATGTGGATGATTAACTGGGAGTACTCAGTACTGTGACCACAACGCTCAATGAACGTTTCCGATCTTTGAGCGTAATGCTTGGGCCACACTAACGGAAAATGCCATTAATTATCGCGATAATTGACGTTATTCGTAGGTGTAATTTGATCACTAAACAAATAGTTTAATGTATGTTTTGCATCGTTTAATATCATCGATTATCGCGATAATTAATGGCATTTCCCGTTAGTGTGGCCCAAGCATAACAAATACAACATTGCTTGTAACAACTTTCTTTTTGCGTTTGGTAAAAGATGCCGTATCGCGCTAAAACAACTTCAAATAATATGTGTATGGTCAGGTATGGGAGCGAGTAGTAGTTATGAAGGGCATGCGTGGCGGGCCTGGCTTAGAGGCTCGACTGAGGTCCTACGGGGCTCTAGAGCGGGCTCTGGACGGACGCGGTGGAGCCCCGGACCGCAAGGGCTGCCCCCGGGGCGTGGGCACCGCGCGCCTGCGGATGCTGACTGCTGACGCTGCGAGGCTGCATGATGACTCGCGGTACGACCTCGTCTGCGAGGCTGGGATCACTCCCTCAGCACTCAGCGCCTTACACGCGCTAGCTGAACTCTCCATCAATACCTACAGCTCGGTAAGTAAAACTAGACTATATTTTACTTACTAAAATTCTAAAGTTTCTGCATGGTTGGCGCGGTGTCTGGGCAACTGGTTGCCGCGCAAGTTCCATTCCGGCACGGAACAACTCTATGTGGTCCACAAATTGTTGTTCCGGGTCTGGGTGTGATATGTAACGCACCCACGACACAGGAAAAATCCTAGTGTGGGATAAAGTTTTTTTCAAATGAAGAAATACATTATCACGAAAACAAAAACAGACTCTTACTCTATAACTTTAAGAGCTATATCTGAAAATCATCAACGTTTCTGTTTTCCAACCAGGTCCGCATATTAGCTCAAATCCGTTTGTACTGGATGTTGAGCCATTACCCGTATTCGTATCGGGCGTTGGTACCAAAGTTGGCGGAAATATTGGCCAAAGGCGGTGAAGGCGACGAGTGGCATGCGCGCCATAAAGGGGTTCTGTTCATGATGTTGGGGCCACGCAGTGGGCCATTGGTGGCCAAGCAGGATTGGGATGTAGTGCGTACGTTATGGCCAGCTATACTTAACGCACCGCTTAGCGAGAAACCCAGCATGGTTCGGTAAGCTCCTTTAAAATATTTCTGTATTTCGCCAATTTTGAAACAGTATTTTTTTTTATCTCATTTTGTTCGCGGCAATCTTTTGTGTACAACAATAAGTCACTACATTGTCTGATAAATCAATACCCGCTTGTGGTTTATAGCTTGGAGAGACACTTCTTAGTTGGGTGTCTCATTCCATCTTGATAAATCTATCCTGCAATGTTCGAACACTGTGCTAAAGGCACAAACGATTAAAAAGACACAGTGTTCTTCTCTCAGTCTGGAAGCAAGTTCATTTTTATATGTTGATAGTCTTATCTGATAAGCGTTGCTATACTTTGCTATCTCTTGTTTGACAGTTAAGGCTGGATCAGTCAATGAGAATTTCTGATAGGGAAGTGTGTTTTGCCACAAAAAAAAAATCTTTTGCAAAAACTATTTTAGTAATCTTGAAATAAAGCTGAAAATCCAACGAATTACTATTCGTTTTCCAGTTTAACGTGATCCCTTATTTCAGGTTAGAACAAGCATTCAGCGATAGTCTTCACCGTCACTTCCCGACTGTGAACACTCGTCTTACAATAAGCACTACGGCGGTAGAAGCGGCCGCAGTACTAATAACTAACGAGGAACGATCCGACCCACAGTTCACTAAGATCCTCAACGAATCTATAGCAAGAGAAACAGCCAACTCAGATAGAACTGAGAAAATCTACAATGAATTAATTGTAGAACTTATGAAGGTTGTCGAAACCCCCAATATGTAAGTATAAAATTGTTACTTGGTTAATAAAAATATCGAAAAGTGTATTGACAGACAAAGGAACAAAAATAAAGTATTTTTCATTCAATATTTTACCGTATTGAAACTTCGAATTAATTTATTTTTGACCTAAGAAACTGCTCAATTTGGATTTACAAGAGACTCAAAACTCTTGCTAAATATTAATAAAAAATTTGACCGTATATACAACTTACTAGCTTTTGCCCGCGACTTTGTTCATGAATAGTGACTTTCTGCAGTTTTTTGTTTTTAAAACTATTCTATGTCCTTTCTCAAGTTCCAAACTATGTCTGTACCATATTTTACACAAATAGGTTCAGTAGTTTAGGCGTGAAAAAAAAAGACAGACCGACAGAGTTACTTTCGCATTTATAATATTAGTTTGAATAGTTAGGATAACATTTCATTCTCTCGTGTGCCGGTATATAAGACACAAAAGAAAACGCATTGTGCCCCGCGTAGATCTGCGTTCCGGAATACCACAGGTTAAACAATAATATCACTCTTCAACAGTCAATGGCGTCGCTTGGAGCTGGCAATGCAGATGCTGACATTTTGCCCGTCCCTTCAAACCCCATACCCTGGGTTCGCAGTCCGGGGTATGGTGCAGGCACTACTCCACGATGACATCGCCGTCAGACGCACAGCACAGAGACTTGTCCACTACGTCTTAAAACAACGCAAGCACAAACTTATTAAAATAGAAATCGATCCGTATGAAATCGCTGGCGTACCACGACCTGAGAAACGTACGCCTGGTAAGTTGGGAATCTTTAAGTGTTATTTATAATAATAAGGAACGTGAAACCTTATTTAAATTAAGATTTATTATCGTTAATTTTTCGAAGTTGGTCGGCTAGTTTCAATCGATTAAAGTTGGGGCTCATAATCAAAATCAAAGTTGCGAACTGTCATATACACTTATTATCCGACAACAAAGTATCCAATAAATAAGTTAAGCGTACTTAAATAAAAACTTAATTCCTAGGACTATTATGCATTGGAATAAAACAAACTTTTATTTTCTAGGGTATCGTAAGGATCTTGAGTGGGCAATATGGTCTGACGAGAGGGAACATAAAACTGACGAAGAATGGGATCAACCCTGGTTGAGGAACTCAATGTTCGGATTCTATGCTTGGCCTGAAAAGTTAGAGGTATGTTTTACATAAATATTTGCTCAGAATTTTATTGCGCACTTTGTGCAATAAGTTGCGCAAAATAGCGCATATCTAATTATTTACTGTTTTTTACGTACAAGAAATTAAGCACTCTTTTTTACATTCTAGATAGCAGCACCGTCAAGCAAGCAGGTATTCTCTTCAGACCTGGCTCCCGAAAACATGGAGGAGGGCGAGCGTCACCTGTACGAGTTCTTCAATAACGAGGATAATGTCAACAAGCTGGTCGCCTTCCTGACTGTTGAGGAGAAGAAAGGAAAGGACAAGTTTAATGGAGTGCGCTTTTCTTTGTTCAAGGTCAGTCTGATTTATATTATGTTATAGATTTTAAAATAAATGGGTAAGTTTGTCTAATGTTTAGTGGCCTCTATTTTGTTAATTTTAATAAACTAAGATAATTTTAGGTATTTTTTAATTAATAAACTTCTTTACTGACCTAAGTACTCTAGATAAAATGATTTCTCAAGAGATTTGAAAATATTTAGGCTTTTTGAATCGTATACTCGGTTCGTGGACTCAGTTTTCTAGACCCTTTTTTTTGTCTATAGAAAATCATCAAATGTCCTTTACCTTTTTAGGGTAAGGCGAGAGAGAGTGTTAGACTCTTTCTGAATAAAAACGCCCCTGTTCTTTCGTCTGCTTTAGGCAGGGGCCGCGGTGCCACATTGCGCTTACCCAGCAACCCTGGCTGAACTGTGTTGGTCTATTGGCTATTTAACCTAACCGACCGATCTTTTACTTGACTAATTACGTAAATTAATCTTGATATTTTTTTTTTTATATTCGCAGACACTATTTGCGCAATTCGGTAACGGGGTAAGCGCTAGATTCCTGCAGCATGCTGAGCGTTGCGCGGCGGACTCCCAGGAGGCCGCGCAACGCTTCGCGGCCGAGGTCACCGCCGCCGCCCTCCGCGCGCCGCGCTACTGGCCGCGGCAGAGGGCCATCGACATGTATGCTGCCGCCGTCAATATACTGCAAATCGGTACGATATCTATATTTTCATTAAAAAAACTTACCTCTATTGAATTTCCTCCTAGCCTTTTTTACACACATCGTCACCCCTACAGTGAAATTTTCATTTTTGTTATTGTATAATTTATTTCTACTTATACCTACTGTAAGTAACTTTGATTTAGTTAAACAAAATTATATGAAGCAGTACGGCAGTAATAAGACGCGAAACAACTTGTTTCGAAACTTGTTCCAATCGAGGCCCCTCTCCATCCACAATCAATCTAAACTAACATAAAAAAAACTTTCTGCTGGCAGGTTTGACATCAGTGACCCCCGAAACTCTTGAGGACTGGGGCACCTGCGTCGCCACTGGGGTGGAGAAGTTAGACCCGACCCGCGGCCGTCAAGTAATAGAAGGATTAGTTCAGATTTGCGCGCCACGCTCACGCACGAGAGACAGCGAACCAGATGTCGATACTTCATTCAGTATCTGTGCTAGACTTTATGCTCTCCAGGTAAGGTTTTTACAATATTTTTTAAATATATAAGCTAGTGCTTGACTGCAATCCCACCTGATGGTAAGCAGTGATGCATTCGTTGATAGCAAGGAGCACTAGTTTATAACACGACTGCTCAAAAAAGGAGTGTTATATTTTTTGTGTTCATGTTTTAAAAACCTATTCACTCTAGCTTTGAAGATGATATGGTCTACTCTAGTCTGGATGGGAAGACCGTTACAGGCAAGCTATTCCAATCCTTAGATGCGCTTGGTATAAACGACGAAGCGACTAGTCATAATTTTATGCTTTCAAGATGGCGCTGGTGTAGCTTTGTGTCTTATACGATTTATGTAGCTGAAATATATTCGAGTTTTTAATTATTGTAATGGGCGATCTGAATGCGGATTGCAATATGAAACTAGTATTCTTGCTGTTGTTGTCAATTATTTGTCCCTAGTTAGCGAAACCTACGATAGATTTGACTTGAAACTTTTATTTTTGCCTATCACATGCAGTTGTACCTACTGTCGATATCGTGTCATCACTTTTTATTCAGAGTATGAAATTTGATAGCTACTAGCGCAGAGATTTTACAAATTAATAAAATTCTACATCTTTATGATAATTTTACCTTGTTTCTTGTGTTGTTATTCGGAACTAATAAGGCAAAAAAAACTTTTTAAGTGCCTTAATCTTTTAAGAATTTTAAACCCTTTTAGAACGATAAGGTCGAATATCCCTATAAGATGTATCCCTTAATCATAAGTACTATTTCCCAAGAACGTAGTTTAACATATAACCACGTTCCTACGTAGGGTGCACTCGGCTCTCTGCGTTGGAGGGCGGCACCACTTGCTGCCGAACTGTTGAAGCGGTTGGAGGATGCCAACTTCACACAGCATCCCTACCAAAACGTACGGGAAACAGTCGGCAGGTAAATTTAAATGTTCATTTTTGCGTACTTATATTTGGCGCAATTGCTGGGCAACTGGTTGCCGCGCAGCGCGTCGCGGGTTCGATTCCTGCACGAAACAACTCTTTATGTGATCCACAAATTTTTGTTCCGGGTCTGGGTGTCTTTCTTGTGTATGTAAAGTTGTGTGTTTGTAAACGCACCCACGACATTGAAGAAAATCATAGTGTGGGGCAAAGTTTAAAAAAAATAAGAATAATCAAATCTTTAAGAAAATTTTACAATCTGTAAAACATTCGATTTCAATTGCAAATTTTAAAGTTCACGAATTCAATTGAACGCTAAATCTAGAATAGAATCAAGATAAGAAAAGTGGTAATAATAATATCTCTCTTTTGCAGTTTGTTGATGACGATCTTCGACACGGAGCTAGTGTTCCCCGGCGGGCACAATGGTGACGCGCCTCGTCTGGCTGACTTCTTGGCTACTGTACAACCACGACTCGCCGCGCTCTACGACGAGAACGGTGATATAGGTAATTATAAAAACAAAATACTTTTATTATATCTCAAAATAATTACAATACATGTAAAATGAAACCCCATTAAGTTTTATATTTTATATTTTTGATATTTGTATTAGGGTTGCTTCGGTCATAACCTTATTTAAGTCTGTATTGAGAGAAGAACTCATGCTAATAAACAATGGAGATATGTAGATGGATCAATGAGATACGGTATGGAACGGGTAAATAAGTAATAAGCCATTAAACTATAGGTATGATTCAGCATTTTATGAAGGTCAAAATAATAACAACGTATATGTGTAAGAGTCGCTAAAATTATTTTATCGCTAAGCAATTTATGCAATTTAATAAAAGAATGCACTTTTCAATGACATTGCTTTTAGAATGTCAAACTGTTCAAAATAATTATATACTTTATAGTGATAAAGACGGCAGCCTCAGCGGCAATGCAGTGCAGTCCCCGCGAGGCGGCGGGGGGCTGCGCCCCCGAGACGTCGCGCCTTCGCCCGCTACCGGGCGTGCCCGCCGTCGGCGACGTAGCGCTCGACGTGGCGAGACTCACACAGACACACGACCAGCGACACACCCCCACTGATGACACACCACAGGTAATTTATATCTTTATATATTATATCATTCTACTCCTCGTGTGTATGTCATTGAACTCCTCCTAAACGGCTTGACCGATTTCAATGATTTTTTCTCTAATTTTCTAATTCTTTTCAATGGGTGAAAAAACTGCTTACATTCTACGGTTGGCGCCATTTTCCGAAATTTTCTTTTCGCGAGTTTAGTTTTTTTTTACACAAAATGAGTGATTTCGACGCAACCGTATTAAACATAGTGGTTCAGTATACGTACGGAACCGTCATTGCAAGTCGTTCCGACTGTCAACCCTCGCCTTCGGCTCGGGTAGACATTTGTCGGAACTCTTTGCAATAAAAGCCTTTCCGTACTAGTAATGAAATATACTATTTTGAGTATAATAATCAAACATCCTCTCTTTAGTCTCATCTCTCACTGGGTAATATTATTATGATCATAAATGTTACTCGACTTTTATTTTTCTCTATTATCAGTCGACGGAGACAGGAGAGTCTTCAGACACAGAGGGCGAAGCCCGAGCGCCCCGTGCGGAGCGCCAGCTGGTGTCCCGCCTGGATGCAGCGCTGCGCCTCACTGGGGACGTCGCCGCGCCTGCACCGCAGGACCACGCACGGGCACTCAACTTGCTCACTACTGGTAATGTGACGTTCTTTATGCATGAACTAAAATACATGTTATTATATTATTTATTTATACGGAACAGATTTTCAAATATTTTATTTAACCTTACTACGATATACCTTAATTCGAGACATAATAGAAGAACAATGGTGCGTGGACGTCCGCTTGGGGTTCGATGAATTAAAGTTGAAGTTACAGAATATGTCAAAGTTAAGGGATCTGGTGTAGCTCGAAACGAGTCTAGTTACTTTGAAGTTATTGTCTTACCTACCTGAATCAATATATGACATAAAATTAACTTATACTCGACTACACGATCTAGTGTTCTTATAATTTCCTATGTAAAAGTTAAAGAATTAATTTCAAATTGACCTATATAAGGCACTTTTGAGCGTCAAACAATATAAGTAAATAAAAAAAGTGTCAACCTGTTGTCAATTTTCTAGTTTAGCTATTTGGTCCTGGCTCCATAGTTTGTGTGATCTCTCCAACCCTGTGTGATCCATAAATTATTATTTCGGGTCTGGGTGTGATGTGTATGTTAAATTGTATGTTTATGAACGCACCCACGACACAGGATAAAACCGTAGAGAAGGGCAAAGTTGTAAAAAAAAATGGTTTTTTTTTTTTGTTAAAATTGATAATTGAGTTGTGATTGGTGTGTGCAGTACTCCGCGGGTGCATGGGCGTGGTGGTCCGCGGCGTGGGGTCGGGCGCGGAGCCGCAGTACAGCGTGGTGGGCACGGCGTGCGCGCTGGCGGGGCGCGGCCCCCCCCGCCCGCACGACGAGCTGCCGCGCGCCGCCGCCGCGCTGCTCGCCGCGCTCGCGCTCGCGCACCACTCCGCGCGCGCATTCGACATCGCGCTCCAACATCTGCACGCGCTCGCCGACAGTACGTTACAACTACTATTAAAGCTTAATGTATACCGTGGTGGCCCGGAGGTTGAAGAGCCCGCTTCCCATGCATGAGGGTGTGGGCTCGAAACCTCGCAAGTACCAACGTGACTTTTTCCGAGTCATATGTACTTTCTATGATTATTTAGACACCACTTACATACGGTGAAGGTAATCGTGAGGATACCCTGACTTATAATTGCTAGTTATAAGTTTGAAATCGCCAACCCGCATTGAGCAAGCGTGGTGATTAATGCTCAAGCCTACTCCGTGTGAGAAGAGGCCTTTGCTCAGCAGTGGGCAGTTTTAGGCTAATGATATGTGTTGTGATGCGAAACAATCAATACCAGAAGACTTGCAAGTGCATTGCCAGCGTTACGGGATCAAGGGATATTTGGGATTTAAAGATTGGAGAATGGTAAAGATTGGACCTTCAGTAACCTCACTCACACAGCTAAACAACGCTGAAGTTGTTTCACGCCATTTTCTGTGAACCCGTAGTATCACTCACATATCATATACGAGTGAATAGATTACTTATGGTTAGGCGTGCTCTTTATAGTTCACCAGGCGAAATAGCGGCCAAACGCCAGCTCACAGTCATCAAAGAAATTGTGAGAGTCCTATATAACCTTTTCACTTCCTACTATATCAATCCTACTGTATTGTCATTAGGTCGCTCATGGTCAGCTCGTCTAGCGTGCCTGGACTTTGCTCAGCCCCTGCTGTTCTACGGGCTACCAATGTTATGTGACCGCGCCGACCGCGCCATCGCCACCGAGCAGTTCGCACTCAAACTGATGAGAGATCCAAGACTTGAGGTGAGATACTAACCTTTTGAATGAATTGCAAATCTTTGTTATATAAGTGACGTTATATTTATGTTATAAAAATGTTACAGGTGCGACAGTCTGCAGCGAAACTACTAACAGGTCTGATGCACTGTCGTGCGCTGCCGGACGAGGGTCGCACGATGCAGGGGCTGATGCGGAGCTGCCGGTCTAAGGAGCTGGTAGAGCGCCACTGCGGTGTGCTGGGGCTATGCGGGTACCTGGCGTCGCGGCCCTACAGCCTGGGCGAGCAGCTGGGCGCCGTGCTGGCCGAGCTCGCTCGCCACACGAGCGCGCCCGACCCCATCCCCGCCACCATCCGCGACGCGCTCGCTGACTTCCGCCGCACGCACCAGGACGACTGGCCCAAACACCGCGACCAGCTCACCGAGGAGGAACTCGATCTACTCGCCGACCTCACCTCGCCCCCCTCTTACTGCGCTTAAGTCGACTATTGCTACATAGTTTTATCTCTTTTTATGATAAGGTATTTTATAGGGATGCATCCGATAACGATACATTGCCAATCTAACATGTTTTGCAATGTATCGGAATCGGCGATATTAATTTTGTTGATATAACATTGACTTATATTTTAAACTTTCGCTAAAGTTATTCGGTGAAAGACAATGTATATTGCGCTCACAATTTGTTTACGCTAGAAGAAGCTTCAAGTTATAATATAAAGGTAATCGTTTTTACTATGACATGCGCTATATGTTTCACTATTTTGTGACTGTGGCGTGAATTTCTTATTCGTCTTGACTTTGTATAGTTGCTACGTAATCAATTTGTATGACCTATTCTGGAAAATTTCTTTATCAATATTGATGATACTTTTTTACAAAATAAATATCGTATCAACTGAAGTGCGCATCGATGCATCCCTAGTATTTAATTGTGATATTCAACAATAGCTTTATGTATGACACAAATTTTTGTTGCATAATTACTCCAAAGTGTTATTGTTTCGTAAACTGAAGTGAAAGTAGCTATTATAGACGCCGTGTGATACAATTACTGAGACTGTGTTTCAGTAACAGTGACTTCATAGGCCTAATATGTAGTGAATTAGTGATCGTCTCTCCTGCATATACATACATGTAACCGACCTTTTTACTAATACTAGGTATTCACATAGAATCTGTAACGGTGGTGGCTCCATCTCATATCATGTTCTGTGCCCACAGTAGACGCCGGTGACGGATTTAGATAGTAAGATGGTCAATGAGTAATTTTGTATAATTTGAAAAGCTATTTTGATATTTTTGTTTTATAGTTATATTATAATATATAATTTGGTTTGTTGGTTTGGAAAGAAGAATTAAATCTATAAACAATTTTAATTTATTATGATGGGTATATATTTTTCGTCATTTTGTGTGACAATGTGCAATGTCTCATTGTTCTTAAGACATTTCGTTCCATAATAGATCTGTTTACATGGGTTAAGTATTTGTAAATACTTGTATAAATATTACGTAATATTTCTTTTTTAGGATATTGTATTAAATACTACATTAATAAATAATATGTGTTTTATTTCAACTGGACTAAGGAAACTACATTTATTCACTTATACAATTTTATTTTCAACAAATTTTGGTCAGACGATGTTACATGAAATATGAAAAGAGAATATTGAGAAATTCAGAGCATCAAAGAATAGAGTAACAATTAAACCTAGTGTGCGAGTCCCCGAAGGTTACTTTCGGTCTTCGACATCTGAAAGTAGAAAAAACATGATAAATAACTGATACTATTATCTACTGGTAGTAGATTGATGTTTTGCCAAAGCTTACAGCCATTTAGTTAAAGGGTTCTTTTACGGAAACGCCTGGCCACGTGCCATCGCGAATTGGGTAGTTTACTAGGTCAAAAGTTAATTACTTCAACGTTTCAATACAATAAAATATTGAAAAATAACTATAGATTCTTTTATTTATCGATCGATCGATATGCTAAGTTTTAGATATTTTGTAGCTAATTATTGAGCTCAGTTTTTCATACAAATTTTATAGAAAAGTATCGTTTTTGACAATTGGAAACTACCCTATTGCTTGTATGTTATTAATTTCGCGGACAATAACGTGGCTTGCGGCTGCAATATACGACAAACGCATAACGCATCACACAATGCTCCGCGAATCCGTAAACAGTATACAATGTATACTATAAACATTAGTTACTTTTGACCTCATCTACAATGTTCTAACAGGAAATAAGGCTAATGAACTTTTCTTATGTCACAGTATGGCACTGTTGTAGTCTGTTTTTGGTAAATAGTCGACTAACATTCTAGTTTAAAAAAACAACAAATACATATTGTCAATTACCTACTTAACATACATCAACAAAAGCTTGTGATGGTTTATTTTTGGACTGTAAACATTTACTGATTTGCGAATCTATCCTTTTAAAAAGAAGATGTTTGTTAAGGTTAATGTTTATCAGTGAGTGCTACAGCCTGTGTGAAAGTTTCAACACACATAGGAGACAGTAAAAAAAATAATAGATTTGTCAACTGCGACCCGAGTTCACCTGACCCATATTGACAAAATTAAATCTATTGTTCTACTGTCACCACAAATGCAGAATATGCCAATATTTGTTATCTTCGTTAGAGCTTGTCTATTATGGCATTGTCTGTCATACATTATAGCTGTGGGCCGCATGATTGTGTAAACACAAACATATGAGTTGTGTAAGATGAACGGACATTTTAGTATAAAAGCTATACAAATAAAATATTGTCCTTGACATAGTCTAGCTGTGATACACAAGACACAACTTAAATGAGTAGATGCAATCATGGAAGTACTATTCTAAAACATAATACCAGTATTAGGAACCCAGCTATATAACTTTGCAATGTTATGCCTGGTAACTAAAAATACCAGATGCATAATATGATTGCACTACAATTGTCCGGGAGGAAATTATGGTACAATTGTAACATGTAACATGACAAAGTAAAAATGATAAATGGTATGTAATATCAGATACTTTTAGTAACCGCCTTTTCAAAGCTAAATATTTCACCAATGGATTGTCCAATACATTGCTAATGAGATTTTTAACTTAATATTAAGATATTTATTGTAAACTACTAGCGAACTGCCCTGGCTTCGCAATGGCACAATGCTGATACTGAATTTTCCACTATTTAACGGGTGTCATTATAGACATAAAACAACCTCTTCAATCACTCTATCCATTAAAAAATTCTATATCACAAACCTGTTGTATAGTTTTAAAGATTAAAGGATACACAGGCAGGCAACTTTCTTTTAAGATAACAATGAACTTGTAATACTCACTTTTACCATCACACGCTACAATTTTTACTTTATCTACTTTTGCAACTTCTTGTACTTCCCGAAATTCTACATCATTCAACATGAATGTCCATACATTATCACAAAACCTGAAAATAAACACAAATATTAATGTTTTGAACATGAGTATGGAAATAAATACCTACAATACTTTTATACTTCTACAAAATAAGTAAAGATCCAAGATTTCTATGGAGATGCTATAACCATTATATGTTTTTTCGCATAGTGAAATGAAAATGTTTGTATTTTACATTCTTCGCAATTTAAATTCCTCGTCATTAACAATTCCTGCAAGGTCTATAATATTATGAATAGTATCTGAGGTTCCAATGGTAGCGCAAGTGCTGATTAATTATAATAAGTTGTTTTGAAATTACCTGTATGTATTTAATTTTCCTGCTTTGAAGGTAAGTCTTGACTTCACCCTGTTAGATAGCGCCTGGTTGATGGACTTATCGAATTGTAACAAAACTCTCACTGCTAACGCTGGCGTTATTTGTCCATACTGTAATATTAACAATAATGTAGCAACAAAGCACAATCATATTGTATTTTTTTTATAAAACAATGTAAACAATACCTGTATCAATTCGTCAAGGCTTTCTTGTAGAGTATTTCCGATCGTGGTATTTCTATACAATTGATATGACATCACTAATGATTATATTAAATTTTAAATAAGTAATTTCTAGTTAAGAACTAACAAAGGACGAATAAAATTCAAACGTATGAAAAATAATTTGAGTCAATTTCTCTCACGTTCACAGGCAGGTTTTGACCACAGACTATTAATTAGACAAAAATTTGCTTTTAAACTAGAGACGTAAACTTCTATTGTGCAGTCTATGGAACTACAGCTGTGGATAGTATTGAAAAGATATTTAGACATTCGTCAGTATTATCAATTTTTATGACACAAACGGATAAACCAGTAACAGACCAAAAAAGCAGATTTTTTTTCTTATGGAATAGGAGGCATGCGTGTGGCTTTATTACCTGACGGTACTAAAGTGATTTGCGCCGCCCATGAACACCTGCGAGAACAGAGGCGCATTGACGGCTTTTTACGAAGGTGTACTTTCTTTCTGAAGGTTTGTACAGTGAAAATGTTGCTGGTGTGATCACATAACCGACACCACGTGACAATGCTGGACATATATGCCTTTTATTTCATAAAAAAATTACTTTTTACTGATGGATGGCTTTTTTGTTGAGAAAAAATGAAGCTCGAGACTTTTGACCAGATTTCCCAATATAAAACTCCGTACCTATTTTTGGGTGGGAAAGATCATCAAATTACCTGTTTCTCCTTCCCAGGAACGAAAGAGCTCCGAGCCGGGGTCGCGGAGAATTATAACGCTTGCCCCCATAACTCAAATTCTGGGGGCGTAAGACTATGACAAAGGCCCTCACACCACCATTACATACATACAACTAAAATAATACAAAACATATGGTTATTATTCTTTTTATTGTTCGATATATATTCTTTGAGTCTTTGGATTGTATACGTTATTTTATGATTTTTATAACAGATTTTAATTTTAATTTAACAGTTTAAATACGTATAATACCTATTTAGACAAATTCGGTTTAGTTCAAAGAGTAAAGTAATGTTTAGTTATCTGTGCACACTTCTTATAGGAATGTTTAATCTGTAACGTACCTATACTCGGAATTTTAATTCCATTCCAGATTTGACAATTTCAGTGTTGCAACGTTATGACACGTAATAAATAGTGACGTTGCGAAATTATTCGATATGGAAATCGAATATTTCTGAATCGATTCCTCTCGTTTATAAATTTACTCTCGTAAACTAAGTTTATTAGGAAATAAAATATTTCTGAACCGATAATTTAGTTTTGACACATAATTAACGATCTGAGACTTTTCTTTTGTAATTGTGTGTGAAATTAATAAAAAATGTGATCATGAAGGAACGTGACAAATAAAACAGACATTTTATAAATTGTCGCCGTCATCGCTATCGCTATTGCCGTTACTCTATGTAACATTTATTATGAATTGTGTCTGTGATATTTATTGTCAATTAACATATCTAGCTTACTCATTTTTTCCTCTTCTTTGAAAACATGGGATACGCATTTAGACCATTCGGTAGCCGTAATTTTTTGAATGCCTTCCTGAAACTGATTTACTGATTGTTTATCGATTTTTGTGTTCATCACTACACTGTTATATGTGGTATCATTATTTCACAAAATGACAGTGGTCAATGTCAAATCAGGAATCGAATTAAAAGTCTGACTATACACTACTTTTTCTTTTGTTGGCTTAAAGGACTCGTATCCAGGCCATAAACTCCAAAAAAAAAAAAAAACTTTTTCTTTTGCCGCTAAAATCAAATTACGAAGAAGTACTTCGTACAATACCTACTTGTGGAGGTGTTGTATCTATTGTAAATTAGTAATAATTACTATTTTAAATCATTGAAGTATCAAAAGTACCTTAGTTAACGTAACACGACAAGAAAGAGAGATTTACTACAAGTTAGTTGTGCTGTAAATGTTTGTTACAAAAGCTCCAGGCCAGCACGTACACGTAGCACACTACTAAGTTGAAAATTAAGGTTTGTGACATACCTAGTTGCTTTTTTCTGCATTTTTTTAATTTTTTATAATTAATCTTTTCAGTACGCCTTTAAGACATTGACCCAGTTTATTTTTAATATTTTTTAACACCTAAGCAATGTAGCCAATTAGGTTTAAGTAAGGTGGTAGAAGCTTTTGAATGATATAGGTTTTGTATTTGTATGCACTGACGGATATTTACGTTATAATTATTTTGGTCAGTGGGTAGCCTTAGGTGCCACTTTGCTCTTCAGATATAGTTTTGATAATAAAGTGTATGGAGGAAATTTTATATTTCCCACGGTACACCCAGGCGAACCAAGGTGAACAGTAGTAAAAAAAAAGTTCCCGCTGCACACAGACCTAGGTGGTCTTACGAGGTGTGCGGTGGGCAAAGAGCGCCTACACATCTTGGCGAGTCTGAAGTTAGCAGTTTGTCTGCGCAATGGATCTTTTTTAGGAACAAAATTGTGTACTGCGCAGCTAATCGGCTAACTTCAGACTCGCCAAGATCCGTCGGCCGCACTGTAGGTCTAACACTAAAAGTCCAAATACCTAGTCTTACTTTCTTCAACCTTTCAGTAAACTAATCACAAGTAATATTTGATACATATCAATTTATTTTACTACCTTTCTCATTCTAGAAGTTATAATGCAGCCTCTAGGTTTCTTTGCGCCTTGGTACTAGACTAAACAAATTTTCAGTTGCAAATTGTGGCAGTTTTTATCCATGTTTGCTTATTGAGGGCTATTTGCATTTGGCCTTGGAGTTTGAGGAGATTAATTTTTATACGAATCGAAAAAGATCCCTACAGTTACATAAACAAAGCTAAATAAGGTGGTACAATGCCTGCTATTTTCTTATGAAGACAAATTCTCAAAACCGCAGCAATACCTCTCTGCCAGGATCTACAGTAAATGCAACTATAAACACTGAAGACTGAATTGACTCTGGGGACAGGAAAGACTTACATATTATGGGGATAGGTGTGAATTGCACAAAGTTATTGAACACTTATTTCCCCGTCCACAAATCTGTAGCAAGACCCTTATCTTTAGAATCTTAAGAGAAGGTCTTGCTACAGATTTGTCTACTATCTAAAGTTGAGATTGTAGAACACCTAGAAGTACAGTATAGGAATGTGAAAGAACCAAACAATCATCTATGTAGTTTTGTTGAGCAGTTTCCCACCTGGGTACTAATTGGTGGATTTGGTGGATCCTTCCTGGATGTGGTCATTGAACTTGTTTCTTGGACTCAATGTCAATCTTTGGTTTCTTCAAAAAAATTAGTTCTAAGCTTAGGTTTGAACCCATTGTGATCATGAAATCTTGAGTGTATGAGTAGGTAGGTAGTACATGTTGACTGCTATAACATGTTTAATTGTTACACAAATTAAAGTCAGATGTAGTTGTTAAATTATTTTTATTTGCTTGTAAAAGACCTAATAATCTTCTGCTCCTCGTCCGTGTCGTCTTCTTCACGATGATCTTCTGCTCCTCGTCCGTGTCGTCTTCTTCACGATGATCTTCTGCTCCTCGTCCGTGTCGTCTTCTTCACGATGATCTTCTGCTCCTCGTCCGTGTCGTCTTCTTCACGATGATCTTCTGCTCCTCGTCCGTGTCGTCTTCTTCACGATGATCTTCTACTCCTCGTCTGTGTCGTCTTCTTTACGATGATCTTCTGCTCCTCGTCCGTGTCGTCTTGTTCACGATGGTCTTCTGCACCTCGTCCGTGTCGTCTTCTAAACGATGATCTTCTGCTCCTCGTTCGTGTTTTCTTCCCGATAATCTTCTGCCCATCGTCCGTGTCGTTTTCTTAGCGATTATCTTCTGCTCCTCGTCTGTGTCATCTTCCCGATGATCTTCTGCTCCTCGTCTGTGTCGTCTTTTTCACTATGATCCCTTCATTATAGCCATCTTCTAATTGACTGTGTCCGTAATGATCTTATCTTTGTGAGTTTTGTTTTCACGATGATCTTCTGCACCTCGTCCGTTTCGTCTTCTTTATGATTGCTTTCTGCTCCTCGTCCGTGTCGTCTTCTTCACGATGATCTTCTGCTCCTCGTCCGTGTCGTCTTCTTCCCGATGATATTCTGCTCCTCGTCCGTGTAGTCTTCTTCACGATGATCTTCTGCACCTCGTCTGTGTAGTCTTCTTTATGATTGTTTTCTGCTCCTCGTCTGTGTCGTCTTCTTCACGATGATCTTCTGCTCCTCGTCCGTGTCGTCTTCTTCACGATGATCTTCTACTCCTCGTCTGTGTCGTCTTCTTCACGATGATCTTCTGCTCCTCGTCCGTGTCGTCTTCTTCACGATGATCTTCTGCTCCTCGTCCGTGTCGTCTTCTTCACGATGATCTTCTGCTCCTCGTCCGTGTCGTCTTCTTCACGATGATCTTCTGCTCCTCGTCCGTGTCGTCTTCTTCACGATGATCTTCTGCTCCTCGTCCGTGTCGTCTTCTTCACGATGATCTTCTGCTCCTCGTCCGTGTCGTCTTCTTCACGATGATCTTCTGCTCCTCGTCCGTGTCGTCTTCTTCACGATGATCTTCTACTCCTCGTCTGTGTCGTCTTCTTCACGATGATCTTCTGCTCCTCGTCCGTGTAGTCTTCTTCACGATGATCTTCTGCACCTCGTCTGTGTAGTCTTCTTTATGATTGTTTTCTGCTCCTCGTCCGTGTCGTCTTCTTCACGATGATCTTCTGCTCCTCGTCCGTGTCGTCTTCTTCACGATGATCTTCTGCTCCTCGTCCGTGTCGTCTTCTTCGCGATGATCTTCTGCTCCTCGTCCGTGTCGTCTTCTTCACGATGATCTTCTGCTCCTCGTCCGTGTCGTCTTCTTCACGATGATCTTCTGCTCCTCGTCCGTGTCGTCTTCTTCACGATGATCTTCTGCTCCTCGTCCGTGTCGTCTTCTTCGCGATGATCTTCTACTCCACGTCCGTGTCGTCTTCTTTATGATTGTTTCTGCTCCTCGTCCGTGTCGTCTTCTTCACGATGATCTTCTACTCCTCGTCTGTGTCGTCTTCTTCCCGATGATCTTCTGCTCCTCGTCCGTGTCGTCTTCTTCCCGATGATCTTCTGCTCCTCGTCCGTGTCGTCTTCTTCACTATGATCTCTTCATTATAGCAAACTTCTCATTGACTGCCTCTATA